CCTATCCTCGGTCCCTTTCTGCACCTCTCCCCTGACTTCTAGAAGCAACACTTGCATGTGGGATTCGCATCTCAAACTCCACACCTCTGCAGCTGAGCTCCCGGCCTCTCCCTCCCCTAGGTGGCCGCATCTCAGGGGACATTGCCTCCACTGCCCCTCCAACTGCTCCGGCTACAGACCCTGCAGTCATCCTTGACATGCCTCGGACAGTTTCCCTCAAGTCCATAACTTATTCACCCACAAATTCTGCTGAGGTAGGCAGAATAGTGGCTCCCCAAAGATATCTTAATCCTACAGAAGGAAAAAGAATCTTTGCAGAGGTGACTGTGTTAAGGATCTCGAGTTGGGGACAGTCACCTGGCCTGGCGTATCCAGGCGGGCTCCAAGTGCAATCACAGGTGTGTAAGAGGCAGGCAGAGGGAGATCTGATACAAACAGGAGAAGCTGACGTGAAGATGGAGCAGAGAGATTCCGAGATGCTGGCCTTGAAGACTGCAGTGGTGTGGCCACAAGCGAAGGAATGCCGGCAGCCACCAGCAGCTGGAAGACGCAAAGAACAAATTCTCCTCTAGAACCTTGGGAAGGAGGCTGGCCTGGGCCCTGCTGGGATCCTGATTTTGGCCCTCTGGCCTCTAGAAACGTGAGAGAGTGTAGCAGCTGCTTTTCGCTCTGGCGCTTGGAAGCAAAGGAATGAATAATTACACAAAACAGTGTTTAGAGAGAAGGGGAGAGAGGCCAGAAGAAGATGGCCTCCCCAGCTAAGCTCCTCCTGTATTTTTCTCCAAGGACACGTGCAGAGGGTCAGGGCCATCTGCTGATTTCTTTAACAATGTCCATACATATCAGCTGTTTTCAGCTGACCTTTGCACAGAAAACAAATGTCTTCGGGCAGGTGTTTTCACCTGACCCTTCATCCACCTGCTCACGTTCTTTCCACCCACCCACCCGTTCCTCCAGGCCCCGGCCCCTACAAGAGAGCACATTTCTGTTGTTTGAAGCCACCGAGTTTGTGGTCATACAGTCTCACCTTCTCTGAACCGACGTGAGGGCCACACGAGCGTCCGCGCTTAGCATGGTGTCCGGCACAAGGTCAGGGCGCTCAGCGACCAGGGACTCCGCTCACTCCAGCTCCTAGGGGCAGCGGGGAGGGTGGACCCTGAGCACACCAAGTTCAAGTCCCAGCCTTGCAATTGACCTGCGATCTCTGCCCAGAGACTGTACTGCTTTGCGGATGACTTTAGCGCCTGCGCCACCCGCTGGTTGAGATTCTGCATATAAAACCCCAGCCCCAGGCGTGCGCGCAGTAGGGCTCGGTCACGGGAATGCGTGGCGGCAAGGCCCACGGCTAATACCTGTTACGTGCTAAAATGCACCAGGTGCTGTTCCAAGTGCATTGCCCACAGCGTCCTCACCAAGAGCCCGAGAGGTTGGAACTGTGACTCCCATTTTACAGATGGGAAAACTGCAGGATCAGAAAGGCTCAGGAATTCCCAGCGGGAAGTCCATCTGGCCAGCCCCCCCCCTCCGCCCCCCACCATGGCCTCTGATGCAATCCCCCCACTCCTCCACCCCAGAGTTCGAGAACCACCCCTTTAACTGCACTGTCTCATCTTTCTGTGCCTCTGGACACTACCCACATTCCCAGGTCTTTGGGATCAATAGAAAGATTTGAGGGCTTGTTAGGGACGGATTCTGGGGTTCAGCTTCAGAGACCCTGAATCCATAGGACGGGGGTGGGGCGGGGGGTGATTGAAGGGTGGGCAGGGATGGCATTTTTGCAGAGGGCCTGAGGGGATTCTGACACAGGACGTCGGCCACCCCCTCCGAGGTGTCAGCTTCTGAGTCTGACCTGGCTCCAACCCAGTCTCCCTGCACAGATGGACGCTGGCTCTGGGAGGGGCTCTGTCGCCCCCTCCGATTCCCGGGTGCTGGTTCCTGCTTCCCGAGGGTGCGCTGTGTGACTCAGTGACGTAAAAAACTCGTGCAAAGCTCAGTCCGGGTCTGGACGCGCAGGAGAGCGAAATCACTGGGACGGAGTTTGTCGTTTGCTGTTGTCATAGTTATGACTGTGTGAGCCACCAGCCCCGCCACCTCTGCACCTCTACTCAGCTTTCTGGGCGGGGAACGTCTGAAATCGGCGTCTGAACACCCCAGCGCAGGCTGGGGAGGGCGTCATCTTCCCAATATTAGTGGGGAAGAGAGCTTGGGGCGGGGTTAGAAATAGTGTGTCCCCCAGAGGCCCAGGTTGTGCCCAGTGGGTCTGGGACAGAGAGTTTCCTAGTGATTCCAGAGAGAGACACACACAGACCCTGGCGACCTGGTCCTGGCAGGGTCTGAGGCTCAGCGAGGGGGACCAGTGTCCCCACGGGCTGCCCCGGGCCTGCAGGACGCCTCTCCTGGGCTGCGCATGCAAGCGCAGCCGCCCGCGCTCCACAAAGACTGGGGCCACAGCGCCCTCTGGTGGGCAGCGACTGAGTCCCAGGGTTAGGAGAAGTGACCCAAGGTTGGGGCTTTCAGGATTAGTGTTTGTTCCCTGTGTCCCCAACCCCAGCCCCAGCGCCCGTGCCCGTGTACCCCACTCCCGGCCTGACCACTCTGGGCTGTCATTATCTGGTGATGGGTCTGTCACTATACTGGACTTCGAGCTTTATGCAGAGTCTGGGGCCATGTCCCAGCGTGTGCACACGGGGCCTGGGACCACAATACTCCAGAAATCAGTGAGTGTGCCTGCTAACCTCTCCCTTCTCTCTGCCTTGAAGCCTTCGCTCCAGACCCTCTGCCGGGGAGTTTTCCTTACTAAAGTCCCCAAACTCCACCCTCCAGGTTGTCCAGGTGTCTATGTGGAGTAGGACACAGCCTGGAGCCCACCTTACTCTGTCTCCATGCTGGCTGCTTGTCTCAGAGCTGCACTTGGACAGTGGGGAGGGATGAGAACATAATGATTAATTCATACATATGTTTATTCAACAAATAATTTTTTTTTTTCGAGACTGAGTCTCACTCTTTTGCCCAGGCTAGAGTGAGTGCTGTGGCATCAGCCTAGCTCACAGCAACCTCAAACTCCTGGGCTCAAGTGATCCTCCTGCCTCAGCCTCCTGAGTAGCTGGGACTACAAGCATGTGCCACCCTGCCCGGCTAATTTTTCCTATATATTTTTAGTTGGCCAATTAATTTCTTTCTATTTATAGTAGAGATGGGGGTCTGGCTCTTGCTCAGGCTGGTCTTGAACTCCTGACCTCGAGCAATCTTCCTGCCTCAGCCTCTCAGAGTGCTAGGATTATAGGGATGAGCCACCACGCCCGGCCCTATTCAACAAATAATTTTGAGCACAACTATTTGTCATGCCCCGTTTTAGGCACTGGGGAGATAGCAGTGGATGGAAAAATGATCCCTTCCTTCATAGAGCTGATGTTCTAACAGGTGGAGACAGACAACAAACCAAATAACTAAATAGAAATATATTAATAATATGATAACAGACTATATGATTAGTATTTCAAAGAAAATTAAGGATTTAAGGGGACAGAGAATCAAAGGGGCTGCTATTTTAGCTGGAGTTGTCTTTGAGGAGGTGACAATGGGAGACCTGAATGTAGTGAGGGGTGGAGCCATGCGGGGATCTGTGGGAGGAGCATTCCAGGCAGAGAAAGTAGCAAGTGCAAAGGTCCTGTGGCTGAAGCAGGACTGGAATGTTCTAAGAACAGGGAGGGGGCCAGTGTGGCTGAGGCAAAGTTAGCCAAGGGAAGGAAGGAGGAGTAGAGGCCAGAAATGTGATGCGGGTTGAGGAGGATGGAATAGGGCCTGAGGGCTTTGCATTTTATTCTAATTGTGAAAGAAGTCACTGGGGGTTTTGCACCAGAGTGCTTTGATGGTGATAGATGTTTTATATAGCCCGGGCTGGCCACCCGGGGAGAACAGCCTTGGGGGACAGGGCAGGACCCCCTCGATGGAGCTGCAGCCACAGTCCAGGCAGATGATGAAGGTCAAGACCAGGGCGCAGGCTGCGAATGGGAGACGAGTGAGTGGATCCCAGATCTGGGATGTGAGCACAGAGACAACGGGACTTGCTGACCGGCTTGGTGTGTGTGAGAAAAAGAAGAGGAGAGTCAGGGATGATTGATTGCACTTAGGACAAAACCCATTTGCTTCATAATGGCCTACAAGGCCCTACATGATTTGGGGCCTTGCTCTCTCCCCAACCTTGTCTCCTCCCTCCCTCCCTCCCTCTGCTCCAGTCGCTCCAGCTTTCTCACTGGTCGTGATGCTCCAAGCTTGCTCCCAGCCCTTTTGCACTGATGATCCCTGTGCCTGGACGTGCTTCCCCTCCTAGTGCCTGCGGTCACCTGCGGTCTCAGCTCAGGTGTCACCTCCTCAGAGAAGCCACTCCCTCAAGTCAACCTATCTTATTTTCCTTATAGCATTTGTCACTCTCCGAAGTGATCTTGTTTTCCCGTCTGTCATCCATCTCCACTAGAATGTCAGCTCCCTGAGAGCAGCGACTTTGCTTTGGTCGCGGCTGCTGCGTTCCCGGGGCCTAGGCGCGTGCCTGGAACGCCGCCCGCTCGGGAACCGAACAAAGGCGCTGATCAGCCTCGCGCTCGCTCGCGGGCTGGCGCACAGACGAGACGCCCGGACGAATAGGCCCGGACGGGAATACACGACAGACCCTGGGGTCACCCACATACCCTGGGGAGACCCAGAAGCCGGGGACGCCCTGCTCCCGCACCCACGGCCCTGGGGACGGAGAGCCCGGGCGGGGAGGGAGCGCCCCCAGGGCGCGGGTGGGGGGGAAGTTCTCAGGGGAGCCCCGCCCCGCCCCGCATCCCCAGCAGCCAATGGGCGCGCGGCCCTCCCGACGCCCCCTGGGACGTGTAGTCCGGGCAGGGCGCCCCCGGGCGCCGCCGCGCGCCCCTAGACTCCACGTCCCGTCGTGCGCCGGGAGGCGCGGGGATTGGCTGGGCCCCGCCCCCGGCCCGCCCCGCTCCGCTCGCGCTGCGGCCCCAAGAATGAATGAAATCGTAGCGCGCTGGGCGGCAGAGCGGGCGGCGCAGGCCGGGCTGGGCCCGCGCGCGGCGGCAGCGGCGCCCCGGGCCGGAGGCGGCCCAGCCGAGCGGGCCATGGCTACCGCCATTCAGAACCCGCTCAAGTCGTGAGTGTCCCCGCCGTCCCCGCCCCCGGCCCAGAGCCCCCAGGAGCCCTTCCCCCGCCCTCTCCAGGGCTGAGAACGGGGGCGCCGCGCGCGGACCTCACTTGAATGGGGCCCCCCAGCTCGCTCCGCCGCCCCTGGGGGCCCGCCACCCCCCGTCGCCCCCGGGGTTGGGGGCGGGAGCCCCTCCAGGTTCGCGGGGGCGCCTCTTCTTTGTCGCTGTCAGTGAAGGAATGTGGCGCGGGCTGGGGGGTGGCGGAGGCCGTTTCCCCACCCAGAGTGGGGGTAGGGGCTTCCCTCTCCTTTTCCTCCCTGCCTCCTCCCCAGTGTCTCTGGGGGTGCCGGGCTGCCCCGGGCAGGGGCTGGAAGCTCAAACACCTGAGTCCGAACCTCCTTCTCCAGGGTTTCCATCACCCTCTCCCCTCACCAAAGCACCTTTCTCTTTCCCCCCTTTCCCCGGGAACCCCGGCCCTCGCGGCCGCAGGGTGGGAGCTGAGACGCCAGGGGTCCTCGCCGAATCGATCTCTGCCGCCTCCCCGTTCCCCTCCCGGGTCCTCAGGACCTAGGAGCCCCGACACACGGCCGGCTGGACCGTGCATCCTCCCTCCCCGCCCGAGCACATCTCACCCGAGCGTCTCCTGTCCCCCGGGCCGGACGCCGCCGGCGCGGTGCTGAGCGCCCTGGGTCTCCGGGGATTCCCTCCCTTTCTCCCGGTGCGCCTCCCTCCTCCCGGCGTTGGCTCCTCCTGGGCCCAGCGGCCGGGAACTCGGACGCCCGGGTCCCAGCCCGGCACCCGCCCCTCCCCTCCCCTCGCCCTCGCTCGCTCTCTCCACCTTGTCCTCTGTCCCTCTCCACCTCTCTCCCGCTCCCCCTTCAGGATCCCGGACTCCCGGGTCCCAGCGCTCCCCACCCCCTTTCCCAGGCGGTGACAGCGGGCTCCGAGCGACAGGCGCACCGGCCGCTCCCGCCCTCCCTCCCTGGCGGGCGAGCGCGGCCCTCCCCTCCCCCTCTTCCCGGCCCGGCGGGGGAGGCGGAGGGCGAGCGCCCGCGGCGCCGCACAAAGGGGCCGGGGCGACCTCCCTCACCCTTCCCCCAGCCCCGCGCGCTCGCAGCCTTGACCTTGAACGTCGAGTGCTGGGGTGGGGGGCGAGGGGGCGGAGGAAGCATCCCCCACCCAAGAGTAGGGCCGTGCCTGGTGGCAGGACGACAGGCCCCCAGTCGCTCCTGGTTTCTGGCGGGAGTGGGGGCGGGGGGTGGGAGTCTGGCGAGGAGGAAGGGGGCGCAGGGACTTACAGGCACGTGCCTGCACGTGTGGCTTTGCCTCGGGCAGAGTGGGGGTGGTGGTGTATGGGGCCCAGGTCCCTGTGAGATGGCGTGTGATGGTGACACCCCTTCCTCTCCCTAAGTTGGGCACACAGACAGATGCCCTTCCTGTAAGGGACACCCTCAGACTGACCGGGAACAGGGGTCCTGTGCAGGTTGGTGGGCCTACAGGCATCCAGACCCCTTGGAGGAGGCATGGTGCCGCCTTCGCAGGGGCCTGGCCGCCAGAGTGACCTGCCCTGGGAGTGCCAGGGCCCTCTCTGCCCTCCCCTTCCAGGAGGTCTGCCCGGGTGAAGGGGAACTCACTGGCTCCTGAAACGATGTGAAAGTCAACCCCCCTTGGGAGTGGGGGCCTGCAGAGCGGCCCTCCCAAGTTCTGACTGCCTGTGTGCCAAGCCCAGCCTGAGCTTTCGATTTTCCCACCTCTGAGCCTCAGTTTTCCCATCTGTGAAAGGGGGATTGTAACACTTCTCATTAGCTCATGGGGCTGTTGTGGGACTTAAATAGGGAGATCCTTGTAAAGCACTTAGTACAGAGCCTGACCCTGACCAAATGTAGTGATTATTATTAGTGGTATCAGTATTGATTTATCAAAATCGATTTCTACTATGGGCCGCTGCTGCACAGGGCGCTGGGGGATGGGGGGCCTAGGAGGATTGCTTGGGCAGGGCAGAAAACTGGGAGTCCAAGTGTGTAGGAGAGTGCGGGACAGGGGTTTGCGACGGTGACAAGGGGTGAGGAAACCTCCCCAAGTGCCAGCCGGGTCTGTGGGGAGAAACCTGCTGGTGGGCAGGGGCTTCTGGGAGGGAGGAGCACAGCGTGTCCGTCGTGGGCTCTACTAGACCACACTGAGGTTGGGGGTGCTGGGGTGCGGCAGGTGCGAGCCAGAGTGTCTGAGGCTGCAGGTGTGGGGAGCAGGTGTGACAGGGTGTGCTGGGAGGTGAGGGAGGAAGGTGGCAAAGGTGCCCTCTGAGCTGAGCTGAGGGTCTGGGAGAACAGGGGCGGGGTGACTGGCAGGGAGCTGAGGGTCTGGGGGGATGGGGGGGTGACTGGCAGGGAGCTGAGGGTCTGGGGGGCCGGGGCGGGGTGACTGGCAGGGAGCTGAGGGTCTAGGGGCCTGGGGCAGGGTGACTGGCAGGGAGCTGTGGGTCTGGGGGGCTGGGGCTGGGTGACTGGCAGGGAGCTGTGGTTCTGGGGGGCCGGGGCGGGGTGACTGGCAGGGAGCTGTGGGTCTAGGGGAACAGGGCGGGGTGACTGGCTGGGTGGCATCATAGGGGCTTGGAGCAGAGTGAGCGTGGGGTGCTGGTGTCTCTCAATCCCCTTTGTGGAGAGGGGACAGGGGCAGGTCAAGGCCTTAGTTTAGACGGGGGAGTTTGTGGAAAGGGTCTGAGACTGAGGGTGTGTGAGTGTGCGCGCGCATGCACGTGTGTGTGCGCGACCATGAGTGTGGGAGGCCTTGAGTGGGTCTCTCCCATGAGGGTGACAAAAGAGGTGAAGCCTAGCTTGCCCCTTCTGCCTGCTGGAGGGCCCCCTGGTGGACAGAGCATGTGTGGGCGTGCTAATGCACGCAAGCCACTCAAACCAGAATGCTAACTGGGAACGGGGCGTGGGGCTGCGGGTGCGTGTGACTGGGTGGGTCAGCTCACTCTCCGGGGATGCCTTAGGGTGCAGACGGTGTTGGTGACAGCGGGAGAGAAGGCGCTAAGGCCCACTCGGGGATGGACACCTAGGTGTGTGAATCCCTCCCTCAGTCCCACCTGCAAACAGTCAGGGCCATGTCGGGTCCACTCCCCGTGCCTCACATTCCTGATTTGGAAAATGCAGATAATAACAGCATAACCCCGGAGAGAACTGTGCCCGGCCCAGGGTGGGTGTTCAGCATGTTTATTCATTCAACAAATATTTTACTGAGCACCCACTATGTGCAGGCATTATTCTTCCTAATAATGGTGTGCTTTCACCATCTTACATCTTAGTGCATATCAGATCCTTTGGAGAATAAAAAAATGTACTGAGGACTTCCTGTGCGACAGGTACCTTTTAAAATGCTTAACTTGGCCAGGCGAGGTGGTCTCACATTTGTAATCCAGCACTCTGGGAGGCCAAGGCGGGAGGATTGTTTGAGGCCAGGGGTTCAAGATCAGCCTAGGCAACATAGAGAGACCTATCTCTACAAAAAATAAATTAAAAAACAAATTAGCTGGGTGTGGTGGCACATGCCCGGAGTCTCAGCTACTCAGGAGGCTGAGGTAGGAGGATCGCTTGAGCCCAGGATTGTTTAAGGCTGCAGTGAGGTGTGATTGTGCCACTCCGGACAACAGACCAAGACCTTGTCTCAAAAAAAAAAAAAAAAAAAAAAAGCTTTACCTATATTTACTTACTTAATCCTCCAATCCAAAGAGACTTCGTCCTCCTTTTACAGATGAGGAAGCTGAGGCAGGGAAAGGTGAAGTCGTTTGCTCAAGGTCACAGGGCCAACAAGTGGCAGAGCTGGGATTTGAACCCAGGAGGTGTGGCTACAGCTGCTCACCAGCCTGCGGCTGTCAGGCCCGCGGAAGGAGTTGAGCAGGGTGGCTGGGGACAGGAGAGGGTCCTCCGGGCCTAGGAAGGACCGGGGGTGGGGTGGGGGCGGCGTCCGCTCGCGGGCACGTTGGGGAGCAGTCTGTGTGGGCACTTGGAGGCGTCTCCGAGTCTCTGGGTGTTGAAGTGTGCGCGTGTGTCTGTGAGTCCGTGGGAGGCTGCGAGTACGTGTGGGTGTGTGCGCCGCCAGGTGTGCACGCGTGCACGTGCGACCGGGGAGTGTGTGAGTGAGCCCGCGTGAGCGACCGTGCGAGCTCCCGGGCCCCGCCCCTGCGCCCTCCCCTCCCCTCCCCTCCCCGCGGGGTCCGGCGGGCCCGGCCCGGGACTACGACTCCCGGCATGCCCCGGGCGGGCCCGCCCCGCCGCCGCGATTGGCTGTGGCCCGCGTGCGCCCGCCCCCCGGGAATGAATGGATGGGCGGCCTCAGCGCCCGCCCGACCGCTGGGAGGACCGACCCGGCGGGGACCTGCTGGGGGCAGGACCCGGGGAGCAAGATGGCCACGGTCATCCCCGGCCCCCTGAGGTGGAGCGGGCCGGCGGGAGGCGGGGAAGGGCGCGCGGGCGGGTCGGCGCAGGCTTGAGTGTCTGTGCGGCGGCTGGGGGTGGGGCCGGTGGGGTGTCTGGGGGGCTGTCACCGAGTGCGGGGCCGCGCGGGGGTGCGAGCGTGTGTGGCGGCGGGTCTCGGCCAGAACGGTGTCCGGCGCCGTTCCGGGAGGGGTGGAGGGCGTGGGGGGACTCCGGGTTCTTCCTGGGGAAGGGGGTCACCGTCCCCGCCCTGAGACCCCCGGGTCTGGGAGAGAGTGAGATGGCCTGGGGCTGCGGGGGCCTCGGTAAACTCGAGTGAAGTCCACACTACCTTTGTCTGGAGATGCCGAGTGTGTGTGTGTGTGTGTCACTTATTTGTGTGCTGGGTTTTTAAAAAATATGTGTGTGGATATGTGTATGATTTCTTTTATTCTACACTAGATATCTTTGGGCGTTTGGGTCTTTGAGTGTGTGTGTGTACATGTCCTCTGGAACTATGCGTTATCTGTCTTGTGGTCCGTGTCTTTGGGTATATAGGTATGGGCGTATTTGTGTGTCAATTTTTGTGCATATACGGTGGATTTGACTGTTTCTGTGTTTTGTATGTGTGCATCTGTGTGTGTTTGGATGTGTGATATTTTAGATATTGCTTTCTATGTTGTGTACCTTTGTGAATCTGTGTGATTTCTTTGTATTGTGTGTTCGGATGTTGTGTGTGTGGTTTGTGTTGTGTCTTCGGATAGGTGTGTAAGTGCATATGTGTTTGTTTGTTTCTATAGTTTGTTTCTATAGTTCCTGTCTTTTGACATTTGTGTATCTGAGTGTCTTTGGTTGCATGAGTGTGTGTGTGTGTATGGTGTGTTTGGCTGCATGAGTGTGTGTGGTGTGATCTGTTTCCACGTTGTGTGTCTTTGTGTGGGTGATTTACGTTGTGTGTCATTAGGTATGTGATGTGTATTTGTGCATGGATATGTGTGTGATCTTCTTACACTATGTAACTTGGGATATTTGTATTTTTCAGTAGCTATTTATGTGTGCACGTGTCTGAGATTTGTCTATTTCTCCTTTGTGAGTATTGGGATATGTCTCTCTTTGTGTGTGAATCCCGAGTGACTATGTGTGATTTGTTTGTGTTTGCATATGTTCTTGTATAGATGGGTCCCGGTGTGTTTTTGTCTGTTTCTACGTCGCGTGTACCTACTCATTAGTTGGAGGCCTGCTCCAGTGCCTGGCTGGGGCCCCTTGGCCCTGTCCCCTCCCCCCACCCTGGGTCCAGGAGGGGGAGGAGGGGAGCGGTGAAGTTGGAGTGGTCGGCCCACCCTTCCCGGCCGGGTGGGCGGGCGACCCCGCGCCTGCCCTTGCTGACAGCCGCCCGCCCGCCCGCTCCCGCCCCTCATAGCCTCGGCGAGGACTTCTACCGCGAGGCCATCGAGCACTGCCGCAGCTACAACGCGCGCCTGTGCGCCGAGCGCAGCCTGCGCCTGCCCTTCCTCGACTCGCAGACCGGCGTGGCCCAGAACAACTGCTACATCTGGATGGAGAAGACCCACCGTGGGCCAGGTGCGGCCGCGGGGCGGGGGAGGGGCGGGCCGGCCGGCGTCTCGGCCCCCTTCTCACCGCCCTGCTTGCCCCAGGTTTGGCCCCGGGACAGATTTACACGTACCCCGCCCGCTGTTGGAGGAAGAAACGGAGACTCAACATCCTGGAGGACCCCAGACTCCGGCCCTGCGAGTACAAGATCGGTGGGTACAGCCGCGGGGGCCCCACCGACGTCCCAGGGCGCGCCTTTATCTTCCTTCTAGCCAGTGTCTGAATGGCTGGCTGTGTGTCTGCCCATGTGTCTTGGGTGTTTTCCAGAGATTCTACAGTTTTCTCTGAGTCACCGAGCTTCGACGGTCTCCTCCCACGTTGGCGCGCGTGCCCAGGTGTACTGAGGGCTTAGCGATGTCTGTTAGGGGTGCCCAGCTGCAGGGAGGCCCTGGCCCATCTCCTCCCCTGTGAGCTGGGATGTGTTTTTCTCTGTGGGTGCCTGAGATGTCCAGTTCTGTGAGTCCCAGTGTGTGTCTAGATGTGTGAGTGTCTGGCGGGACTGCCCCGTCCCCAGCTGCGTGTATCAGAGCGTCTCTTCCCAGGTGTTGCCAGGTGTCGTGGAAGGTTTGTTGCTTCTTGTGTTTGGCCCATCAGAGCATCCTGCGCTTCCCACGTGTGTCTGCGTGCATCAGGGTGTCTGCTGTGTCTTCCTGTGAGTGTCCCGATGCCTCGAGTGTCTGGGACAATCTTCCCAGTAGTGTCTGGTGCGTTAGGCGCGTTTCTGCACGCGTGTGCTGGGCCATCAGTGTCTGGACTCGCTGCTTAAGTGTGTCCCGGAATATCGCAGTCACTGGCTGTTCCTCTCCCCCTGTCCGGGTGTCCCCAAGAGGCTGTGTCCCCCGTCCGGCTCTGTGTGCCTTTCTGTGCGTGTGTTTGTATGTAACCATCTGGGCGATTCTCCCTGTGTCTCCTCCATACGTGTTCATATGTATCATCTGTGTCTTCCCATGTCTGCTGGTCTCATGTCTCTTTCTGCGTGTCTCTGGGTGTCTAGCTATATCTCCCCCATATGTCCCGGTGTATCCAAGGATCTGGCTGTATCTCTGAGTGTCTAGGTGTATCTGAGAGTCTGGTTGTGTCTCTTCCTTTGTGTGCCCATCTCAGAGGATCGGGCTGTGTCTCTCCCGTGTGTGTTCATGGGTGCCCTATTTGAGTGTCTGTATCTCTCTATATCTGGGGGTATCTGAGAGCCGGAGGCGGTCTCCCACATGTGGACCTAGGTATATGCGAGGGTCTGGGTGTGTCTGATGGCCTGTGTCTTTTTCGGAGGGTTTCCCGGGTGTGTCCCAGGTTCTGGCCATGTCTCCTCCTGAGTGTGTCTGAGCGGATCCCGGGCGTGGCTGTGGCTTCCCCGGGGTCTGGGACCCTTTCCCGTGTGTGTGGCTGGCTGAGTGTGGGACAGTCTCTTCCCTGCCGCAGTAAGCATGGTCCCCCCCCCACCTGGGCAGGTGGAGGAGTCCTCCAGGGACAACTTCTGCCCTTGACCCCATCCCCATGGCCCTGTCCCCAGACTGCGAGGCACCCCTGAAGAAGGAGGGTGGCCTCCCAGAAGGGCCGGTGCTCGAGGCTCTGCTGTGTGCCGAGACGGGCGAGAAGAAGATTGAGCTGAAGGAGGAGGAGACCATTATGGACTGTCAGGTAGGCCCCCGAGGGCCCCATCTACTGCCTGGCACGGCACGTACGTGCTCTCAACTCTCCCTGGCTCCCCGGGGCCTTCAGGTGTCCCGAGTCTCCATCGCCCAGACTTCATTGCTTTGCAGAAGAGCCCCCGACTTGCCCTCCCACCCCCAGCTCAGCCTCTGCCCAGGGCCCCTCAAAAGCACATCAGGACCCCCTGCTTTCTTGACCCATTCCCTTCTCCTGCTGCTCAGAAACAGCAGTTGCTGGAGTTTCCGCACGATCTCGAGGTGGAAGATTTGGAAGATGACATTCCCAGGAGGAAGAACAGGGCCAAAGGAAAGGTACCACTCTCCAGCTCCCCCCCCACCCGTTCCCTCAGCGACAGATCCCTGTACCCAGTACGCACGATGGCCAGCACCTGCGCAAGTCTCAAGTCTGACCTCATCTAGTCCCCAGAGAGGTGGGGAAGTTTCTTCTCTTTTTCTTTGTTTTTTCTTAGAGACAGGGTCTCACTCTATGGCCCAGGCTGTAGTGTAGCTATCATAGCTTACTGTGACCTTGAACTCCTGGGCTCAAGCGATCCTCCCGCCCCAGCCTCCTGAGTAGCTGGGACTACAGAAGTTGACCACCGTGCCTGGCTAAGTTTTAAATTTTTTTATAGAGATGGGGTCTCGCTATGTTGCCTAGGCTGGTCTTGAACTCCTGACTCAAGAGATCCTCCTACCTTGGCCTCCCAAAGCACTGTGATTACTGGCATGAGCCACCGTGCCCAGCCAAGGAGTAGGAGATTTTATATCCATTTTACAGATGAGGAAACTGAGGCTTCAGAGCCATTTGCAAAACAGAGATTGTACAGTGGATTAGAACTGTCTTTGTACCTGCACCACTGATGAGGAAACTGAAGTTCAGACAGGTTCAAGGGCCCCCAGCTAGGAAGTTTGTACAGCTGCAACTTGACTTTCCAACCCAAATGATGAAAACTGTTTCCTCACTTCCTTGTCCCCGCACTCCCAGGCATACGGCATCGGGGGTCTCCGGAAACGCCAGGACACCGCTTCCCTGGAGGACCGAGACAAGCCGTATGTCTGTGATAGTGAGTCCTTCTGAAGAGGGGGATGGGGGGGAGGGGCCCAGAGACTCTCCCCTCGTGGCCTCTCCTCCCGTTCTGGGCCTGGGTGGGGGACGCTCAGGTCTCGGGTGGGGCGGGGTGGGGGTGATCCTGCAGCCAGGGTGGAGGCGGCGTGGGCTCGGGGGGGCCCCGGCAGCCCTCCCCACTCGCCCGCTCGCTCTCCAGTCTGTGGGAAACGGTATAAGAACCGGCCGGGGCTGAGCTACCACTACACCCACACCCACCTGGCGGAGGAGGAGGGGGAGGAGAACGCCGAGCGCCACGCCCTGCCCTTCCACCGGAAAAACAACCATAAACGTGAGCAGGCAGGCCACGTGGGGGGTGGCGAGGGGCGCCAGGAGTGGGGGGCCTGAGAAGGCTGGGGTGGGGGGGCATATTAGACATTTCTGGAAAATCTCCAGCTCAGCGGTTCCCTCCCCCCACCGACCATGGGGATGCTGGCTCTGGGGTTGCCATGGCAACCAACCATCTCTCCTTCGCTCCCGGCCGGGCGTAATATTTCTGGGTCTGATTTATTGTTTCAATTAGAGCTTGGGGAGGGGGGGGTGATAGATGACTCCCCTCCCGCCCTGCCTCCCTTGCTCCCTTCTCTGCTAAGCTCTGGCCGAGGGGCAGGGCCTGTGGCCCGGGAGCCCTTGGCGTCCGCCCATGCCAATCCCATGCCAAGGCTGACAGCTGAGGGGTGGGGGAGGGGCGCAGGGCCCGGGGAGGCTCAGCCCAGGGAGACGCTGTCTCCCCACCCTGCCTCCTCGCCCCACGCCCACTACACACCCGGGCACCTCCGTGTTCAGAATTTTCCTTCTGAGTGTCTATCTGCACAGCAGATCTTGGCCAGTGGGCTCTCCCGAATGTTGGTCTAGTCCGGGCCGGGTTAGGGGAGGCTGTCTGCTAGACACGTATTCGAGAAGGCGGCAGAGGGCCCTTCCTGGAGCTGTATTTACCACGTTTTTACCCAATAAAGAGGACATGTCAGTTGTCTCAAAGAGTTCAGGGTGCTGATGAGCATTATTTGCACCCCAAAAGAGGGTGACTAACCCTCTCTTGCCACTGGCCATGGCTCGGGGTAGCGATTCTCTCCCCACCTCCCCACTGCTTGGACCGAGGGGTCCACTCCTGGGGATGCGGCTGGGCGCAGGGTGGAGCCTTGCCTGTGGTGAGAGCCCCTCTCTCTGTCCCCCACCCCCAGAGTTTTACAAAGAATTGGCCTGGGTCCCTGAGGCACAAAGGAAACACACAGGTAGGGACGCCTCCCTCCGCTCCCACCTCCGCAGCAGCCTTGGCCGGGGCACTGCCCGCCCGCCCACGCCCGCCTGCTGTCTTCCAGCCAAGAAGGCGCCCGACGGCACTGTCATCCCCAACGGCTACTGTGACTTCTGCCTGGGTGGCTCCAAGAAGACGGGGTGTCCTGAGGACCTCATCTCCTGCGCAGACTGTGGGCGATCAGGTGACACTCCTCCCCCCCACCCCCGGGGATTCTGGGGGCTGGAGCAGGGTGGGGGGAGGATGCATAGGTTTGCAGACCTGGAGGACAGGGACAGAGGGGTGAAGACTGTGGGGACCCAGAGCCCGTGGGGCTGCCTCAACTGCTGAGAATTGTGGGAAAGAGTAGGGCCCGTGAGTCTTTGGGGACAATGGGATGTGGCAGTCCTGGCACTGAGAGTAGTGGCATGTGCTTCTCATGGCAGGGACTGTAGGGAGAGAAGGTTGCCAAGGCAACTGTGCGATGGGAGTGCAGGGTGGCTCCCGCCCGGCCCTGTGGCTGACAGAGGTGCTGGCCACGGGACGGTGGTCAATAGACTGTGGTTTCCCATGGCGGACTGTGGTCACAGACTGTGGTCGCCTCAGCACAGTGGGTAATGAACTGTGGTTGTCATGGTATCGTGGGTGGTGAGCTACGGTTGTTGTGGCAGTTTGGTGTAATGGAACGTAGCTGTTACGGCGCGGGTCAGTGGCTGCGGGTGTCTGCGGGTGGCAGTGGAATGACTAAGAGACTGGCATTCGCAGTATTGTGACTAACAGTTTGGTTGCTGGGGCATCGTGTGGAACGGGCTTCAGCAGCATGGGACCCAGGTGTGGGGACCCACTGTGGAAGGTGGTTGCCATGGCACTGTGGTTGGGAGGCCGGGGTTGCCGTGCCACTGCGGTTAACGGGCTGGCCGAGTTCTGCTGTGGGTAATGGCATGTGGCCGTCCCAGCACGGCGGTTAACAGAATGTGGCTGCCACAGTGTTGTGGGTGGTAGAAAGTGGTTGCCACAGCACTGTGGGTAATGGAATGCGGTTGCCATGGCATCCTGCGGAGCAGAGTGTGGTTGCCATGGCGGCTGGGTGGGAGACTGTGGTGGCCACGGTACCGCTGCCTGCTGGTCACCACGGGCAGGTGGGGGTCGGGCTGTGGAGTGCAGAGCGCGTCCTGGCTGGCCTTAGGAGCCAGGGTGGGGCTGAGCCACGTCCTCCCTCGGGGTCAGCACCCACCGGGGGCACGATGACCCCTAACCTCGTCCCTGCCCCTTGGCCCCCAGGACACCCCTCGTGTTTACAGTTCACGGTGAACATGACGGCGGCCGTGCGGACCTACCGCTGGCAGTGCATCGAGTGCAAGTCCTGCAGCCTGTGTGGCACCTCAGAGAACGACGTGAGTGCCCGCCCGCCACCCCAGGGGCCCCGCTGTCCTCCCCACCTGGCACCACCACCTTTGCCAGTTGAGCCCAAAGCCCTTCCCGGGAGCCCCTCCCTGGCGAACACTAGTGACAAGTATCATGACTGCTGTTCCTGTCCATTCACTGAGCCCGGCGCTTTTTACTCTCCCTCTCTGACTCCTCCCGGCCACCTCTGAGGCAGGTGCTCTTGTCCCCACGCCACAGAGAGGGAAAATGGCCCACCCTAAGGCCACCCAGCTAGGGAAATGGAGGAGCTGGGATTTGAGCCCGTGTCCGTGGCTTCCAGAGCTGGCATCAGAATATCGTGGTGTCACGTAAAGCCTTGTCATCTAGTCTTACAAACCCAGACACCAGGCTGCAAAGCGACAGTCTCCAGGGGTGGTTCTGCTTGGCCAGGCAGCGTCCTGCACAGATTCCGAGACGCAAAGACCATCTCAGAGCCCCCTCTCCGCCCCCAGCCCCGTGCCCGAGCCCCTGCCCCAGCCCCCCACCCCGGTCTCTGGTGCCCGTGCCCCCAGGGTGCCAGCTGGGCGGGTCTCACCCCCCAGGACCAGCTGCTGTTCTGTGACGACTGCGACCGGGGTTACCACATGTACTGCCTGAGCCCCCCCATGGCAGAGCCCCCGGAAGGTGAGAGAGGAGGTGGGCACGACGCGGGGGGGCAAGTCGCGTCCCAGCTGGTGAAGACCACGTCCTCGGGGCGGGAAGGACCTGGGCCCCGGCCTAACGCCATCCTCGGCCACCCCCGCAGGGAGCTGGAGTTGTCACCTCTGTCTTCGGCACCTGAAAGAAAAGGCCTCTGCCTACATCACCCTCACCTAGGCCTGGCCCCGGCCCACCCGGACCTCTGGAGCGGTGCTTGTCTGCCTGCCTCTCCCAGCTGCGGGGGGAGGGGAGAGGGGGAGGCCCGAGCGGGGGCTGGGCCACCCCTGCCCTCTGTGCCAGTGGGGTGTCGCAGGACCCCTTCCCTCCCCCCTGTCCCTTGGCAAGTGGGCACCAGGGGTTTCTGCTCCCCTCAAAGCCATACCCCGCCTCTGGGCGGGCATGGGGGGTGGTGGGTGCCAGCCGCGGGCATGGACAGAGCCTTTTTCTAAAGAAAAAGACAAAAAGAAAAAAAAAAGAAATTAATATATACGAAGAGTCCTCTAAGGCCTGGCTGGGTGGAGGGGCGCTGCTGAGAGCATCCACTGGGCACCGTCCATGCCGGCCTCCGCCCGGCGCCCCTGCCCCCGTCTCTGGAGTTGCAGCCGTCCCACCTCCCCACCAAGGCGGCACCAGCCCCATGCCCAGGGCGGGTGGGCATGGTGTCCACCCTCGCCCCTCCCGGTGCCCACCGTGGATACTGCATGACGTGAACCATGGTTTTGAACTCTGTTCCCGCCCCTCCCCGGTCACCCCACCCCGTGGCTGGCGGGTGGCAGCGGGGCAAGGCGGGCCCCTGCTCAGCGCCTGCTGGAATGAGAAGCACAGACTCTGCAACGGACTCGTTTCCCTCCGCCCCTGCCCCTCGTCCCTGCCCTGCCAGGCCTGGCTGCCCCCTGCCACCCTCGCTGGCCATATTGGGGGTAACGAGGGGGCGTGGTTGTTTCTTGTGGTTGTGTGTGTTTGTTGTTCCGGGTTTAAAAAAAGGGAAATTGAGACTGCAAGTGGGGGAGGAGGTGGGTCTGGGGGAACCTCCCCCAAGCCAGGAGTGCCCCCCCTTGTCACCGAGTCTCCTTTATTGCCTGCCTCTGCTGTGAATTAACTTGTTCTGTGTATTAAACTGGGCCTGACCCCTCTGCCCACGACTGCCTCGTCCTCCGGCCTGGTTTGGGGAGTCACCCAGCAGGGGAGCTGGGGCCTCGCTGGCTGAGCCCGCCCCTCCCTGCGTCCCCCCCTCCACGCCGCCTCTCCCGCTTTGTCCCAGCTCCTCCCTGCCTAGCCGGAAAAGAGAAGGGGGATGGGGTGGAGGGGCTCCCGCCCAGCCAGCTGTGGTTGCCCTGGCAACGGACTGCTGCAGCTGCGGCAGGAGCAGTGAGGGGGAGGCGGCTGGGGCTGGGGGAAGGGCAGGGATGGGAGGATGACGAGGGCGGCCCCTCTTGGGCTGGGCTGGGGAACAGGGTGTCTGCAAGTGTCATCCACCCAGACATCACCTGGGACTCCCTGTCCTGGACGTGGGGCAAAGAGTGGCGGGGACAGGCTGAAGGGGCAGACATCTAGACACAGGGACACTGGGAGAGAGCCTGGGATTTGGGCGATGGGGACTGAGGAGGGAGAACCAGGACACGGACATCAGGAGAGAGATTCTGAGAGTCACAGATTTGTGGGGAGAATTGGAAGGAGCAGGAGCGCCCAGGAGGGAGGGCGAGATGGGGAGAGCCCAGGAATGGGAGGAAGTCCGGAGAGAGCAAGAGAACAGAAGAGAGCTGGGGATTTAGTGGGAAAGAGGAAATAACAGTAATAAAAAATAGCTGACACGCTGGGGAGAGACAGGAGAAGCAGACGGTGGTCTGGAGAGAGGCGGAGGGTTTAGGGACAGAACCAGGAGAGAGAGAGAAGAGGGGGCGGCAAATGTGGGGACAAAGTCAGGATCCAGGGACAGGATAAGTCCCAGGACAAAAGACACAGAGCGATGAGAGACGTGGACTTCAGGGGAGACATGGGCACAAGAATTTGGGGGCCAACAGAAAATCTGGAGAGAGCCAAAGGTCCGGAGGGATCCAGAAGGACAGGGAGCGGAGCGTCTGCGATGGGCGGGAGGCGGGAGAGGCAGGAGGGTCCCGCCGGGCAGGGGAAGCAGGGGAAGCTGGAAACTGGGGCGAGGTGGGTTCAGGCGGGACCAGGCGCTGGCGTGTGCGCGCGAGTCGTGGGGTGTTGGAAGTGGCTCGTGTCTGGGGCGCCAGGAGAGGATGTGAGAACAGTGTGTTCCGAGGCTTCCGCTCCTCTCGCCCGTGGTTGGGGGGGGCAGGGCGGTGCCGGGTGAGGACGGAGCCTGAGACCCGGAGAGTGTCTGGAGAACTCTAGAAACCCTAGAATTTTTAGGAGCCAAGGGAATGGCTAGCCCTCCTGGATGTAAGCCCCATGCCTTTTGGAAAAATACATTTTTTGGGAAGTGAGGGTCTGAGTCAGAGACGCCTCGGGTTTTAGCTCGGAGATGTAAAACTCAATGACAGGTGGGTGGCTGAGGGTCAGCAGGACCCCGCCCGCCGGGCTGCCGCTCGGATCCAGGCTGGACTCCCAGGAGGCCAGGCTCTGGGATCTGCTCTTGGAATTTCCCGAATGGACTTCGGTTTGACCCGATTCCCACTCCGACTGCAAGTGTTTTCCGGGCTAGATGCAGACCTGGGCCGGGAGGGGCTGCCTGCTACCCCACCCACCCGTGGCCCACTGGCAGGAGGTCCGCGCCCCCTCCACAGGGGGCAGAATGGGCGGGAGTGTTGCAGACGCAACCACACTGGCCTGGGTGGGAGACCAGCCCACAGAGGCAGGGGCTGCAAAGGGCAGATCCACCCAGCTGGAAATCTGGCTTTCCAGAATTTTAAAAGTTGGCCACTATTTTTTTTTTTTTGAGACAGAGTCTCACTCTGTTGCCTGGGCTAGAGTGAGTGCCGTGGCGTCAGCCTGGCTCATATCAACCTCAAACTCCTGGGCTCAAGCAATCCTGTTGCCTCAGCCTCCCGAGTAGCTGGGACGACAGGCATGTGCCACCATGCCCAGCTAATTTTTTCTATTTTTAGTAGAGATGGGGGTCTCACTTTTGCTCAGCCTGGTCTCTAACTCCTGAGTTCAAACGATCCTCCTGCCTCAGCCTCCCAGAGTGCTAGGATTACACACAAGCCACCACACCAGGCTGGCCACTATTTCTAAAACCAACACAACTCCGTGGGCTGGGTCTGGCTTTTGGGCCTCCAATAGGTGACTTCTGTAGAATCTCACTGTCTTTTTAAATGTAAGGACATTTTACATTGTGAGCACTGAATTTCTGTTGTTTGGGCTCCAAGGAAAAGAAGTTCACAAAGCTGGTGTCCCCTGGTTCTTAGTGTGTAGCGAGCCGTGTGTTCGTGGTGGTGACGGCTGTTTGGGACAGGGGACAGCAGAAGGGGGCCGGTGTTGGACCACACCCTCTTGTCAGTGACTCCAGGCAGCTGCCCAGCTAGTGAACACACAAGCCATTTCTATGAAACATTTATTTCCTTTGAAACCTCCAGAAACATGCCGGAAAACGTCAAGTCGGGGACAGGGAAAAAAAAAAAAAGACAATAAAGAATAATAAAAAATCTGAATGAACAAATCAACATATGAAAAAAAAAACCTATCTTCAGCCACTGGATAGATCACCAACCTCAAATTAAATAGATTTGTTTTGCAGAAGTCCTTTAACAGAAAACAAAACCAAAAATCATAACTTACACTTGTCAATGTACATGATTAGGTCCCCAAAATGATTCGAATGATCTGAAGATGAGGAGACAAAAAAAAAAAAAAAGGCTCCAGGATGGGGTCTGAGGAGGGGAGCGGGGGCGGGGAGAGCCCCCCAGGAAAGGGGGTCGGGGAAGGAGAGACATCACAGTAGTTGGCCAGGGCTGGGGACAGTGGCTGAGCGCCCGCCCCGCGCCCACCTCACACGGCGGGGGCGAGGAGCGAGCTGAGGTTTCTGCTCCGCTGCGGGGCCGTGGGCGGGACGCAGGCTGATCACAGGAGATGCGACAGTACCCTCTTCTCACGCCCCCATCCATCCGGCCGGCACCTCCCGGAGTCAGTGCCCGCAGTCCCCAGAGCCCCCTTCCCTGAGGCTCCTGGCCCCAGAGAGAAGGCGGCGGCGGGTCCCTGGGCGAGGCTGGGCTGCCTGGCGCTGGCGCAGGGCCCGGAGCGTGTCGCTGGGAGCCAGGCCGGCTCTGCCAACTCCTCCCTGCCTGCTGCCTCCCGAAAGGGAAGCCGCCTGCCCGCCCACCCTGGCTGCGTCCCTCTGAGTCCTCTCTCCGACCCCCAGCCCACGGGGGACACGCCTTGGTCCTCAGCTTGGGGCCGGGGGATCCACAGACTGTGGCCGTACAGACTTGTTCTGGCGCAACTCTACATGAAAAAATAAATATATATATATATATTTGCTTGTTTTCAAAGAAGGAAAAAAACGAACTGTTTCCTGGGTGAACAGCGTAGTACCACGTGGGCTCGCGGCCTGCGGGCGGCCCTTATTGCCTTGAGAGAACCAGCGTCGCTGGGACCCGCGTTGGCGCCCAGGGGAGCACAGTGGGGTGTCTGGTGGGCGCCTGGCAGGCCCGGACACTCAGGGAGGAAAACAACCAGAGGAGGAGATGAAGGCTGTTTCTCTCCAGCCCTGTCCTGAGGGCGCCGTGAGCCCTTCCGGAGCCTGGAGGTGGCGTGGCTGCTGGTGCAGGGACGCGCTGGGAGGACAGGGCGGCCCGGTGGCCGCTCGGAGGTGGGGCCTGCGCTGTGGCCTCTGGCGGAGGAGGAGCTGATAGAAAAAGATCGTCTAAACCGTCCTGATTGTACGAGTAGAGTTCCTCTCTCAGCGTCGCCGGCTGGATGCTGCGTCTTCCTTTCTCTGTCCTGGGCCCCCAAGAAAATAATTTAAACTCTAAGAAAGTGCTCCTGGCTGCTTTTTGGAAGGAGGGCGTTGGGAGGGGGTAACGTTCGTGCTTTCTGGAGCTAGGGTGCTGGGGACCGAGGGGCCCCGGTCTGTTCCGTCTGGGATGGGGGAGAAAGGGCGGGTCCCAGGCTGAGGTCCCATGCAGGGGGCTGGCCCCGCAAGGTTCGGCTCTGTCGCACTCGGGGAGGAGACCTGGTTTGTGAGCTCCCGGAGCTGCAGGTTTGGAGACGGACTCCTGCCCCATCTTAGCAAGAGGCTCTAGATGGGGACAGAGGGCAGGCCCTGGGGCAGTGTGGACATGGCCCTGCTCACAGGGACCACAGGTGGGCGGCCCAGAGGGGCTTGAGGGCCATGGGCACACCCTGGCTCACAGCACCCCGAGGGCTCCCTCGGGTCCCCCTGCCACCAGGCTCCCGTGTCCCCGGGGAGGGCCACGGGGGCAATCGGTGCGGGCCCTGGCGGGGCTGTCGTGGAGCCGAGCAGAGGGCAGGAGAGCGCCGCAGCCCACCGCCTGCCTGCAGGGAAGGAGCCAGCGCCTGGGGCGGAGCGTGGCCCAGCGGTGGCCTCTCTGCCTCAGAGTTCCTTCTTCTCCCTGCAGAAGATCTCGGCGAACTTGCGCAGCTGCTCGCTGGCGGCCTGCGACTCCTCCTGCAGCCGCTGGTTGTTCTGCCGCAGGCTGGCGACTTCCGACTGCAGCACCACCTTGTCCTGCTTCTCCTGCGTGGGGCGGGAGGGCCGGGCGTCAAGGCTAGTGGCTTGGGGGCTCTTGGGGGCTCCCGAATGGCCCCCTGGGGCCTGGGAGCCCTGGCTGGCTCTGGTCTGGAGCCGACTGCTGAAGCCAGGCTCGGATGCCACAGCTGAGTGGCCCTGGGCAAGGGGCTTCCTCTCTCTGGGCCCGGTGCCCTCAACTCTAAAAGGGGTGGTTGCGAGGTTTCCCCAGGTAGTACATAAGAAGCTCTCAGGACCCCGCCTGACATGGAACAATTGTTATCACTGTTATTAGTGTCCCCTCACCCCACCCTCGCAGCCACCCAAGGACTTGGGGACTGCTGTCATCCTGCAAGCGGGGGCTGGGCCGTGGACGCAGGACCGCCTGAGCAGCTGGCCCACTTCCAGGCCAACAGAACCAGAGGCAGCGACTTGGCCAAAGTCACCTGGCATTAAGCAGTGGAGTGGGGATTTGAACCCAGGCCCCCACGATTCCCATGCTTGAGGACTAACACGTTATACCCTGCCACCTTTCTGCCTCTCACCCCGAAGTATGTAAACAAGTAGAAGTCTCCTCCGCCCTATTTCTCCTCATTCTTTCAACCCCTGGAACTAAATCCAAAGAACAATTTGGAATGTCACCTTCTAGATGACCCTGACATCCCTCTCAACTCATGGTTGTTAATTTTTTTTTTTTTTTTTTTGAGACAGGGTCTCACTTTGTCACTCTGGGTAGAGTGCCATGGCATCATCATAGCTCACAGCAACCTCAAACTCCTGGGCTCAATCGATCCTCCTGCCTCGGCCTCCTGAGTAGGTGGGACTATAGGCATGCGCCATGACGCCAGGCTAATTTTTTCTGTTTTTAGTAGAGAAGGGATCTTGCTCTTGCTCAGGCTGGTCTTGAACTCCTGACCTCAAGTGATCCTTCTGCTTTGGCTTCCCAGAATGCTAGGATTACAGGCATGAGCCACCACGCCCAGCTGGTCGTTAAACATTTTTTTAGCAAAGTGTGATGATGTCCTAGGAAATAGTTCTGCAGCTTGCTTTTTTACTTAAGTTATCGGGCTTCTTTTGCATATTAGTAAATATGTAGATCTGTTATTATTTTAATTGGCTACAGACTATTCTACTGCATGGTGACAGCCACGCCCCTGTTGATGGACAGCTGCACTGACACCAGTGTTTTGTGGCTGGCAGTGCAGCAAGGCGCGTCCTGTTCACTGATTTTTTTTTTTTTTTTTTTTTTTTTTTTTTTGAGACAGAGTCTCACTCTGTAGCCCGGACTAGAGTGCTGTGGCGTCAGCCTAGCTCACAGCAACCTCAAACTCCTGGGCTCAGGCGATCTTCCTGCCTCAGCCTCCCAAGTAGCTGAGACTACAGGCATGCGCCACTATGCCCAGCTACTTTGTTTCTATATATTTTTAGTTGGCCAATTAATTTTCTTTATATTTTTAGTAGAGACGGGGTCTCGATCTTGCTCAGGCCGGTCTCGAACTCCTGACCTTGAGCGATCCTCCTGCCTCGGCCTCCCAGAGAGGTAGGATTACAGGCGTGAGCCACCGTGCCCGGCCTCTGTTCGCTGATCTTTGTACTCACGCTGGAAATTTTCACAAATCCCCATAAGTGGAATTGCTGGTCCACAAGGCGCACAATTACATTTTTGATACATACTGTCCCCTGCCCTCCACAAAGGCTGGGCCGATTTATTCTCCCTACTGGAAAGTGTAAGAGTTTCTTCGTGTGCTTACCAGCCTTTGGTATTGCCACATTTTGCTCATGACTACACTCAGGAATAGGAGTGGGGGTGGGGACAGGAGCTAAGTGGCGAGGCAGGGGCCTCAGCCCTGTCGCCGGCCCCGTGTGCCGGGAAGTGGGCCAGGGAGGGCGCGCCACGAGGCCTTACCTTCTGCAGGTCCGTGTGCAGCTGTTTCAGCATCACCTCCAGCTGGTACACCTTGCCGGTCAGGTCCAGCGGGGGCTCCTCGCTGGAAGGACAGGGGACGAGGTCAGCACAGGGGATGAGACAGCCCCTTGGGGAGGGCTCTCGGCCCACAGTTGGGAGGAATGTGGGGTGCAGGCCCCCCTCGCCCGAGATTCTGGCGAGTCCTTTCCTTGCCGGAGAAGCCAGCTCTTATCCCAGCCACGCTCCTCCCACAGGGGGTCACGTCCGGGAGCACCAGGCCTGCCGAGGGGCCGGGGTGGGGGTCGCCTGCTCTGAAGTGTGCATTTCCCCCCGAGGATGGGCCCCATATGTGACTTTAGGGACAACCCCTTTCACGTATCCTCGGGATACGAAGAAGCTACTCCACAGCCAGCTGCCGAGCTCCTGGCAGGTCTGGGCACTGTTCCGAGCACAGGAAGCGCACAAGTGGAAGGATGGACAACAGGGTCTGCCCCCGTGGACAGCACTGGTAACGGTAGTGGCAATGACGATGACAGTGTGCCTGTCACTGAGAGCCCACCTTACGCCCAGCCCTGGGCTCCCTGGCTCCAGGTGTGTCAGCCTAACTGAGTGCTCTGCCCGCTGTGGCCTATGTGGCTACCCGCCAGGCAGAAGAGGAAGGCCAAGGTCAGGCAGGGGTCGCTGCCCACACAACCGCTGGTGCTGGGATTTGAACCCAGGACCCCGGCCTATGGCTCCTCTTCTGTTCAGATTCTCCTGGGCCCTGCAGGAGAAGGCACAGCCCCTTCCTGCCCGGAGCAGGGGTGAGGGAGGCCCCGCTGGGCACCGTGGGTGCCAGGGATGGGTGGGGCGGCTGCAGATGAGAAGGGAGGCAGGTGTCTCAGTCCCTTGCCTGTCCCTCCCTCTCCTCCCCCCATGCTCCTGAATGTCCTCATCCTGGGACGAGGACAACAGTCTGGGGGCAAAGGGAATCCCAGAGTGTGCCCAGGCCATGGGTGCTGCCACTGCCCACGCCCTGCCCTGTCCTGCCCTTGCTGCTGTGGCGCCACCCCACCTGCCACCTAGGACCCCTGTGGGCCTGCGCCTCGGTGGAGGTTGAGTTCCCAAGCCGGTGTGTGGAGCAAGAAGCTGGCAGAGCCCAGATCACCCTCAAGAATTGCTGCCGTTGCCCCCGTCAGCGCACGGAGTGCTGTACACAGAAGCCGCGCCTCGGGGTGTGCGGACGAGTGTGAAACGCACTATTTAAATCCGTGCCCAGGCAGAACGTGCCATTTACATCCTCGCTGCCTCTTTTTAATTTTGTTTTCTGCCAAGTTAGAGCAGTCAAACATGTTGCACTCAATGCGAGAAGCCGCGCGTGAGATGGCAAACGTGTGGTGTCTGTCCCTGTCCTCCCCCTGCCCTGAGGAGCCTCCCAGGGGCTGGGCCTGGCCTCAGTTGCCGCAGGGTCCCCAGAGGGCCCAGCCTGGGCCTGGCGGGGAGGTGCGGGGCGTGAGGGGCAGCGGGGGGCGGACACGTGTGCGCTTTAGGAACCCGCAGACAGACGGGGATGGGGGGGCACGACTTAGCATTTTTCACAGTCGGAGGTGAAGCAATTGTGCGAGCATCGATTCAAGTGTCTTCCCCACTGGACTGGGAGATCCGTGAGGACAGGGCTGAGGCTGTTTCGGCCACAGCTGCTCCCGGAGCCGGACTGCACAGCGTGATCAGTTCAAAGCCCGTTAGGCGATGGGAGCGGCCGCCCTGCCAGAGCCAGCTCCTGCCGGGGGCGCAGGCAGGTGACCCTCAGCAGCTACCACGCCTGGGAGTCCCTGTCCTGCCGCTGGTGGGGACCCGTGTGGCGGACTCCCGAATGTCCCCTGGGGAAGCTCACCTCATGGTTGGGGTGGTCCTGGGGGTCGGGGGCCCCCTCTCCAGGCTCAGGTGGCTGTGGACGGGGCTGTGCGCAGGGGGGAGGTCCGGGCTCAGCGCCGGGTCGTTCAGAGAGAAGAGCGAGACGGCTCTTTGCACTGCGGGGGGAGAGGGCGGGTCGGCGGGGCTCCCGCTTCTCCCCTCCCCGCACAACTCCCACCCAAACCTCCGGCCACTTCCGGGCGCACCTGTGATTCATCCCATGGGTTTAGGTTTAGGATAGATTCTTGCCAAATAAACAAGCAAAACAACAACACAAACAGCCCCCCGGCCTGATCCGAACCAAGCCTCTAGACCCCATGGGCAGCTCATACAAAATACAAGGGCGAGAGAAACAAGCGAAGTGACAGCACGAGGCACGAACCAACCAGATTCAGGACCTGGCACGTTCTCAGCACAAATGACCTGGTTTGGCCAACAAACAGATGATATGAAAAAAGGGGCCACAAGCAGAAAGGTCGGCGCCGGGCAGGGACTCGTTATGTCACTCGCTCCTCCGGGGAAGGCTGGCACGGTTCAAACGCAGAGAGAAGGGAGGCACAGAGCACCCCGCATGTCGAAGAGACAGAAGAAATCACCTGGGCTCCAGTTAACACCACGGTTCCCGGGTCCCACCCTAGACATGTGACTCGCTCTGGGGAGGGGACTGAGATGTCTGCATTTTCAAACGTGGCTGTCAGATCATCTTTCTGTAATGGCAAGAGCTGGTGACAGTCCTGGTGCCCTCAAATAGCGGCTGGTTTGGTGAGCCAGGGACAGCCAGACAATAGAAGTCTCGGGAGTGTTAAAACAAGGCGTCGTGTGTGTGGGGACGAGAGGGCCCCACTAGGACCCTCTGTGGGGGTCGGGGGGCGAGCCCCCGGCTCCCTGGGTCCAACCTCTTCCATTTCTGTGCTTCAAGAACAGCACAGCAAAAACCCAAACACCCTTCCCCTAGAGCTGCCCATTATTCACATTTTGCCCTATTTCCTTTCTCTTTCCCTCCTCATCTGTGTCTTTTCTCTGAACCACGTGAGGGTAAACTGTCAGCGTCACGGTACTTCACTTCTGTGTACTTCGCTACAAATCGCCAAAGAATAGGGACACTGTCTTTTAAAATCACAACGCCACTACCACACTCGAGGAATTTAACATCTGTATGATACAATAATATCTACTATGTAGTTACCATCAAATTTTCTCCAATTCTTGGAATAATTTAATGTTTAGTCTCTTTGAAAATATTTTTAGCGGAATAATTTCAGACATGTCTCAAAGCAGAGAAAATCTTGTTGTTAGTCCTCGGGAAGCCACCATGGGTTGCAACGATTTCCCACTCCAGTCACTCTGCTTTCTTCCCTGTATCTCCTTTAAATTTCTTGTTCCCCAATTAGCCCTCTCCTTAACTCTTTCTTTTTTTTTTTTTTGAGACAGAGTCTCACCGTGTTGCCTGGGCTAGAGTGCCGTGGCGTCAGCCTCGCTCACAGCAACCTCAAACTCCTGGGCTCAAGCGATCCTCCTGCCTCAGCCTCCCGAGTAGCTGGGACTACAGGCATGTGTCCCCATGCCTGGCTAATTTTTTCCATATATGTATATTTTTAGTTGGCCAATTAATTTCTTTCTATTTTTTAGTAGAGACGGGGTCTTGCTCAGGCTGGTTTTGAACTCCTGACCTTGAGCAATCCTCCCGCCTCGGCCTCCCAGAGTGCTAGGATTACAGGCATGAGCCACCGTGCCCAGCTTCCTTAACTGTTTCTTGAGATAGGGTCTCGCTCTGTTGCCTGGGCTAGAATGTAGTAGTGCCATCATAGCTCATTGCAGCCTCAAACTCCTAGGCTCAAGTGATCCTGTCTCGGCATCCCTGTTTTTGTTTTTTTTTTGAAGAAAATTACTATGCCAGGAACATACCTACCAAAGTTAACAAGAATTCCCTTAGTATTTCCCATTTATTCCATTTGCATAGGAAGGTTGGGCTCAGTGGTTCACGCCTGTACTCCCAGCACTTTGGGAGGCCAAGGTGGGAGGATCACTTGAGGCCAAGACTTCAAGACGAGCCTGGGCAAGAGTGAAATCCTATCTCTGTAAAAATTAGCCTGGAGTGCTCTTGTGGTCCCTGCTAATCGGGAGGCTGAGGTGGGAGGACTGCTTGAGCCCAGGGGTTCGAGGTTGCTGTGAGCTATGATGACACCACAGCATCCAGCCAGGGTGACAGAGTGAGACTCTGTCTCAAAAACAAAACCCCAAACCCTAAAAACAAACCAAAAACCCCTTAGGAAAACCCACATATATCTTTATTAAAAACCCAAAGCCCAAAATAAGCGGAAGCCCGCCTGACTTCCATGCCCCGCTGGCCCCTTCGCCGCTCCTGGGGAGGTCACGTTTACTTCCAGGCTTTTCTGCTACACTCCCACCCCTCCCCCGCAGCCTTCTGTGGCTCATCCATTAATTTTATAAAGGAGGAAAAAGCTCCCCAGACGCCTGGTGGGGAGTCAGCCCACCACAGGCTCCCTGAGCGCTCTCGCGTGTGCGAGTGGCTCTGGGCACACTGGGGTAAGCAGAGTGGCTTCGCTGTGGCTGTCACTTCTCCCTGCTCAGAACCAGCTGTCCTGAGACACAGAGGAGAAAGAGGAGCCGTCCTGGCTGCCTGCAGTCCTCCCCCATCCCTCCTGGGGCCCCACATTTGTGCTCGCCTGGGAGTGCGGGCCCTGCCCAGGGCCTGCTGCGGGAACCCCCTGGGGCCTGAGGTTGGCAGGATCCTGAGGGCGCTGGGAGAAGAATTTCCTTAAAAGTCCTCACACCCTCTTCCCGGCTCCCAGTTTTGGGGCTGAAGACCCAAAAGCCCCCAGGGGCACACTTACTTACATCGGTAAATCTGTATACATTCCCTTATTGCTCACAGCAACCCTGCAGGGTGGCAACACTCCCCTACCGTGTCGTCCTTGGGGCCAGTCCCATCCAGCTTGTGGATCAATAAATGAAGCAATAAATACACAGAGGCCCCGCTTTAACCAAAATCATCCCTTCCTCCCCACCCTGCCTGAGGAAGTTCTGCTCAAGTTCAAAGCGGCCCCATGACAACAGGCATCACTAGGTGGGCGTAGAGCAAAGACTTTTCCCACACCAAGGTCACCGAGAACTAGGAGTCACTAGGCCAAAGGGCAGGTGCGTTTAAACTCTGGTGGCAGGTATCACAGAGCCACCCTGCACAGGAGGGGACAGGCCCGCACCCAGCTCGTGCTGCAAAACCGGCAACGCACAAGGGGCTCCCTGCCCCCACCCCCAGTGCCAGCAAACCCATCTCTGCAGTTCTGAGACCAAGAACCATCTCAGTGAGTTCTGATTCGAATTTATCTTCTTATGAGTTATTTCCAAGGGTGTGTGGATCATCTGAGTTGCCTTTTCTATAAACTGCTGCCTGTGCCCCTTTTTCCAAAGGGGTGTTCCGGCCTGGGTTCAATCCTGGCCCTGTGTGTCCCGGGCCAGGTTACTTGTGGCAGCCGAGCCTGTTTCCTCATTTGTAAATGTGCGTCCCAAGCCATGCCTAGGACTGCAGCCTGGAAGAGATGGTGTCTGGGGAGTGGGAAAGTGCTGGCTTGGAGCAGATGCTGCCAGCATCAGCCTGGCTGGCGGGTCACCGCCTCCAGGAAGAGCCACTGAGCAACCCTCTTCTACACCGAGCCTCTTGGGCCTCTGTGGGCTCAAATCCACCTGCAGGGCCGAGCCACCACGTGGCAGCCACGCCCACCGGTCCCGGAGGGCAAGGTGGGGCAGGGGCCTGAACACTTCGGCCCACGCGCAGGGGTGGTGGCCGGGCACACGAGGGAGGAAGCTTCCCCAGGGCCACCTGCCAGACGGGCCTGGCTCAAACACGGAAACTTGGAGGTTGCGTACCACGTGGGTCTGGTCTAATGGCTCCTGCTCTGTGCTGGGCACCCGGTGGTGACAGAGACAGCTCTGGGTCCTGCCTCTCAGTCCAGTGGGGAGACAGACCCACCATTAGGCAGTCAGGCTGTGAGAGCCCAGAGGAGGAGCCTGATCCAGACTAGCGGCTATCGGGAAGGGCCTCCTGGAGGTGGCCAACCAAGCTGTGGCCTGAAAGATGAGAAAAAATGTGCCCAAAGAACACGTTCGCATCCGTCAGGCACCGTCGTGATTCCCATTTGACAGATGAGGAAACTGAGGCCTAGAAAGGTAAAGCCGCTTGCCCAAAGTCACACGGGAAGGAAATGGCAGAGGCTGCTCGCAGTCACTCGCCATCTGTTTTCTCTTTTTCCTTAATAACAAACCCCAAATTTTAGCTGGGGACGTGGCCTCATTCCCAGCCTGCCCTGCGGCCAGGTGTGGCCATGGGGTGAGGCTCTGGTCAACGGGAAGTGAGTGCAGGAGGAACGTGAGGCTTTGGGAAGTGCCCTGGGAGGGACGGGATGTCCGCCTGCCCCGCAATGGCCAGAGTGCTAGTGGCCACTTCGGACGGTGACGGTGAGGTCCCCGGGAAACGGCAGAGCAGTGGGCTGGAAGGAGCCGGGCTCCAGACAACAGGGGAAGTGCAACACCCGCCCAGGAGATTTTACCGGCACAAAGCCTTGCGTGTTTAAGTCACTGTTAAGTTGGGTTTTCTGACAGGTGCAGAAAATCCAATTTGGACCCCTGCAGGTTTGCACGGTGGTGATGACGCTGGGGACTGTGTGGGGCCCGCTCTGTGCCTGCCGTGCCCTGCACACAGCAGTTCACACAATCCTAACGGCAGGCGCGGGCGCCTGGCACAGCCGCTGTCCCTGTTCGGTAGACGAGGGAACTGGGGCTCAGAGAGATGATCCCAGAGCTGCAGAGTGAGCAAGCGCCAGGGCAGGACTTGAGCCCCACTTCCTGATTCTAGAACCTGAGTGGATCCCCCTGCAAAGCCCCAAGACCCTCCGCTGATCCTTCGAGAACAGGGGAGGGGTGGGGAGCCGGCGGGGTGGGCAGCGGGCACCCACCTTCGTAGGCCTTGGCTGCGTTGACCAGGCTGGACCACTCGAGGCCGGCGGCCGTGTCGGGCAGTGGCATCATCCCAGGGTCGAGGCGCCGCAGGGGCCGGTCCCGCCCGTCCGCCAGGGAGAGCTCAGAGGCCGAGATGGCGGCTGGAGAGTGGAGACGAACGGATGAGCGTGGCCACGTGGACAGACAGATGACCTCTACCTCTGACCCGCAGGGAGCCCCAGGCTCGGGTGTCCCCCACTTCCCAGCTCCCACGCCAGTCCCAGGGCGCCCAGGCTCACATTTCTTCTCCGGGAAGCCGTTGCCGGTGGCGGGGGCGGCGCCGGGGCCGGCGGGCGGGTGCGGGTGCTGGCGGCGGGCGGGCAGCGTGCTGGAGGGGAAGGCGCACGTGCTGGAGAAGAGCACGTCGCTGGGCAGCCCGGGCTCGGGGCCCGCGGCGCTGGCGAAGCTGGGCTCCCGCCGCCCGCTGCACAGGCTCTCGTCCGACAGCGTCCGCTGCAGGCTCTTCTGCGGCGACTGCCGAGGACAGGGGAGCGCGTCACAGCCTGGCCCGTGGTCACCGTCCTCAGAGGCATCCCCAGACATCCTGTTAAGTTCTTACCCACCCGGCATCCAAGTCCACCCCCTTTCTGATCAGAGCACCTGATTTCCCCCCGGGGACTCCCCGTCCCCCAGCGTGGCCGACCCACCCTCCGGCTCCAGGAAGGGTCCCCGTCCAGGGGTGGCTGGTTGGGGAAGGCCGTGTGCGCTAAGCTGGGGCCTGCTGGGGCTGAAGGGCTCTCTTCCCCTGGGGCTACAGGCCGGGGACACTGGGGTCCACCTTGGTCCCCACAAGAGAGCACCGGCTTGCCAGCGAGGCCAGCAGGGAGGTGGGGCCGGAGCGCAGACACAGGGGAGGGTCCACTGTTCCTGCCTCCTCCATCCGTGGGTAACAGGAGCCTGAACTCCCCCGAGGGAGCCCTGTTCCACCCTTGCCCCACGTGGTTTGGTGGGTGGGGCTGTTTCTGTCCCGGGCTGGAGCAGAAGGACTCGAGATCCAGGTCCTTCTGGTCACGTGAGGTGCCTGGCACTGGACAAACCCCCCTGTGCCTGCCTGGGCCGGTCTGTTCATTCACTCAGAGACAGGGGCCCACTCCGCCGCCCAGGCTGGAGTGCAGTGGTGCCGCCATAGCTCACTGCAGCCTCTGATCTCCTGGGCTCACGCGATCCTCCTGCCTCGGCCCCCAGGTAGCTGGGACCACAGGTGTGCGCCACTGTGCCCACCTAGGCTGGTTAAGTTGTGATTTTATCCCTGCCCAATACGACGCCCTCACTCCCAGCCTTGAATCCACACACACTGAGACGGGGCTGGCACATGCCAAGGGGAGAGGACACGGGCAGAGGCTGGGGTGACTGCAGGAAGTGCCACCAGACCCCACCCCACGCCCCGCCTGGCTCCAAGATCCTGCAGGAGCTGGTCCGGGTGTCCCGCGTACCCCCGCGTCTCTCTCCTGCTCTGGGCCCAGGTTGTCCATGATGATCAGCTTCTTCAGGTCGTCCTCGATGGTGGACTTGTAGTTCTTCCGTGGCGACCGCAGGTCTCGGAGGGATGCCCTCAACCGCGGCTGCCCGAAGACGTTCTTCGTGTTGGTGTCCACCTGCCTGGAACGAGAGCGGCAGGGTCAGAGCGCCCCGAGTGGCGGGGAGGCTCGCGCCTCTGCTCCCAGCTGTTCAGACTCCCCGGGGCCAGCTGCCCGCGGCCCTGCCACTTCGCCTGGCGAAAGTGTGACAGAAGAGGGCCTTCGTTTCTTTTGTCTACTCACTCGTTCCCCAAACGCCCCTGAGCCTGCTCGGAACCCGCTCTGTGCCACGCCCAGTCCAGGTGTGGGGACACAGCGGTGAACTCCGAGCACGCAGCTGGGAGGGGAGACCGACGCTGAACAGGCACAGAGACACACGTGTGAGGGACAGAGAAGTGGGGTGAAGAAAAATGAAGCTGGGTCCAGGGATGGGATCGAGGGGGATGGGGTTCCTCAGGGTGCTGGGCTGGAACTGGCCTGTGTGGGGGTGGGGGACAGCGTAGGGGTGACGGGAAGCACCTGCAGCTGTCTAGGCGAGGTGAGAGCGGCCCTGAGCAGGGGCCTGCAGCCACGGGAAAAGGATGGGGTGTCACAGCGAGAGAACCCCCTGCTGAGAACTGGCTCCTATGGGCAAGCCCTGGGCGGCAGGCAGCAGACCCCTGGCCTGGGTGCTCCAGGGTCAGTCGTGGGGTCTCCCGAGCCTCACATGGGACACAGAGCTCACCCATCACAGGTGGCCTGTGAACCTGAGTGGGGCCGGCTGCCCTCTGACTGTCACCATCCCCACTTTTCTGCTGGGCTTCCTGTTCCAGAGGGTGGTGTGAGCCGGGTCACACCGATCTCCTCCCCTTCTTTGGTATTCCCAAAGCTGACCCTGCCGTGCCTTCCAGAACACTCAGTGGTCTAACGGCCATCGAGGCACAGCCTGGGGTGCAAAGGGGTCCCTGGAGGTAGACGAGCCTGGGTCTGGGTCCCGCCTCTGCTCGTCCTGCTTGAGAGGCTGGGCAAGTCCCGCCGCCTGTCTGACCCTCAGTCACGCATCTGGAGCACAAGCCCACCTCCCAGCGCTACTGCGGGGTTTGCCGCCAAGCGCTGGCCGTGCCGGTTCTGGGGAGACGGGGGCTGCTCTGCAGCAGGTAACCCCCAACTGCACACGCCCCTCTGGCTGCTCAGCCCCTTCGCGCCTCGGCTGGGCTTCACATGCCATCACCTGTGGCTCTGGGGCTCTGTCCTGGCCCAGGCTGGTCCCCCAGGGGTCCGTGCCCTCCACTCAGGGGCCCCAGGGCCAGGCTGGCTTCCCTGACGCCTCTCGCCTTCCGATTCCGGCCCAGTCTGGGCTTGATCTGTCTTCTCTGGTGAAAACCAGAGCACTGCCCTGAGGTTTGCTACCCCCCAGGCAAGAGGTGACAGCAGCTCACAGGAGCTCACGCTCACCGTGCCCCCTGGACCCTAATGTGTTGGAGCCGCTGCTACTGTTAACCCCATTTTACAGATGGGAAACTGAGGTACGCAGAGGATGAAGTAACTACACAGCACCGGGACTGCCTTGACGCTGGTCACTCTCTCATTACGTCACCCTCTTCGCCTTTCCTCGTAGCAGCCACCGAAACCCGCGACTGTCTGTGTACCTGCCTATCGTCCGTCTGTCCAGCAGGACGTAAACCACGACAGAGGCAGTCTGCGTCTATCTCGGGACACGTGTGAGCCACTCGGTCATCACCACAGCTGTGGTGGCACTACTGGGATCCGATCTCATGGGTGAGGCGACTGAGGCACAGAGGCGTTAAGCCACTTGTCCAGAGTCACACAGCCCGGGAGTGGAGGAGTCAGGACTCAAACGAAGGCCACCGAGCCACAGAGCCCACAGGTGCCAACGCCGAGCCTGAATGCCACGTTTACATCACAGAGCTGGCATGAAAAAAGATGTACAGCGTGTGGAGCACGATCACATTTGATTAAAAAATACACTTCCGTATGCGGAAGGAAGTCCTGGGAGAAATTAGGAACAATGATCACCTCTGGGAAACCGGAATCTTAATAGGAGGTGGAAAAATGGGACTTTCACGTGTCATCCGATGCCCTTCTGAACTGTCTGAATTTATTTTACCATAATCATGTGTTGAACAATAACAACAAAAAGCAGCTTAAAAAAGGCTGACACCTGGACTTGATCATTTTGTAACTCAAGAAAGAAAAAAGAGTCTTTGAACCCAGAGAACTACTAAGATGTCTTGGGCTCCCGAGGGTTTAAAGTCTGCGCTTTCTCTGTCTCTCTCAGCTGCCGCCTTAGGATTCTAACAAAGGACGGACGGGAGGGTGGTGAGATTTTTTCTTGTTAGGTCATCCTCATCCCCAAATTAGAATTCCAGGTCTAGGGGAATGTTGGCTCCGTCAGTATCAGGGAAACATATTCTCTGGGCAAATTAAACGCTTTAGATCCAAGAGAGAGAAACAGAAAGAGAGACGGAGAGAGAGACAGAGGCACACACACCGAAGGCTAAACGTGCCCACCCGTGGAAGCCTGAAGGGACTGGCCCTGGCTCTGGCCTCTGATTGTGGCATTTCCCAGAATCCCCTGCGCAGGGTCGTGGCAACTCGGGGCAGGGCCCACCGTGCATCCTGAGGGGCCCGTCGTGCCCTGTCCCGCGGGGAGGACGCAGGCCTGGCTGTGTGGTCAGGTAGAGGAGGCGCCGTCCACAAGGCCATCTTCCCAAGAGGCAGGTGCAAAGACCTGCTGAAAACTTTAAAGCGTGCTCTCTGTGCACCCCAGGAGCCCTACTTCTGCAAACATGTCCTTCACAAAGGCCCGCGTGAGCCGCGTGTACAGGCTGCTTCCCGGGTCCTGTCTGCGGGGCAAACGCAGGAGCCCCCAGCAGGGGAAGGGCCAGGCCGGCCTCGGCTCCCCAGAACACGGTCCAAAGTCGAGAGCTGGTCCACGGCGCATGGGCAGAGGCGCTCCCATACACGTCAGGTGAAAAAATAAGTGGTACGTACCGTGTGAAACCATTTCTAGAAAACTCACACACAGCTTAGCTTGGTATCCTGGAGTTTACCAAATTCTTGTTTCTAAGGGCGGATACGTGGGGGCTTCACTTTCTAAATACGTGCTCACCACAGCCCAGGAAGCCCAACACGCTCTTCCCTGTCCCCTCTCTGTCATCGTCTCCTCCCACTCGGGCCTCCCAACGTTCCACAAACACAACAGGCAAGTCCCTGCCTCGGGGCCTTTGCACCGGCCGTTCTGGCTGTCTAGAGTCCTCCCCAGCATTCCTGTGGCTGCAGCGTCTCGTCATTCTGGTTCGGCTCAAATGTCACCTCCGGGCTTCCCCTGACCACTTGACCTGCTGTGCGCCCTCCCAGCCCAGGTGCCCTGTGACAGGCAGGCCTGTGCTCCAGCTCCACAGCCTTCATCTGGTTATGATCGTCTCCTGTAGCTGCTGTCCCTCCTTCCCTCCTCTTTATGTCCAGGGCTGGGGACAGGCCTGCCCGCTGTCGGCTCTCACAAGCAGTTAAGTGTGGATCACACGTAACCAGCCTTCCTTCCAACCTCTCTCCCTCCCTCTCTTTCACAATTAAGTTTAAATGACTTTTATACAACTGAAAAAAGTACAGGGATGCTTCAAAAAATTAAGCCAAAAGAACACAAATATTCCCTCCCTGCTCTGTTTCATTTGTGTCCATTTGCTACAGTCACCTTCCCAGCTCCCAGGACTTCCGGGACTCTAACGGGGCATTCCTAAAGCTACAGCGGAAGGTTGGATCACTGGAAAAAATCATGCTAGAACCTCTCCCTTGATCTTCAAATCGGCACCAGTCCTGTCTCATCTACCGCAGCCCCTGTGGCCTGATCCTATTGGTGGGCTGCCGTGAACATGTCAAAAGGGGAAAAGCATGACGAAACTCAGTTTGCAGAGTCAAACTGATCATTTTTGCTTTTACTATCTTTCTTCTGGAAGACTTTTCCAATGTATTTTCTAACTTGCAAATCCTATGCAATCATTTTAAATGGCATTAATTACAGGTTAAAAAAAACCAGGCTTGTGCAACTCTGATATCTCTGTCTCTAGATTTCTGGTTTCCATAAGTGTCAAAGCCTAGTACTGGGCCGGGCGCGGTGGCTCACGCCTGTAATCCTAGCACTCTGGGAGGCCGAGGTGGGCGGATTGCTCGAGGTCAGGAGTTCGAAACCAGCCTGAGCAAGAGCGAGACCCCGTCTCTACTATAAATAGAAAGGAATTAATTGGCCAACTAATATATATAGAAAAAATTAGCCGGGCATGGTGGCACATGCCTGTAGTCCCAGCTACTCGGGAGGCTGAGGCAGGAGGATCGCTTCAGCCCAGGAGTTTGAGGTTGCTGTGAGCTAGGCTGACGCCACGGCACTCACTCTAGCCTGAGCAACAAAGTGAGACTCTGTCTCAAAAATTAAAAAAACCTAGTAATCTTTGGGGACAAAATGGGCCACTCTACAACTGTTAACAAGAACGGATGCACAAATATAGAACCACTGTCTGGAGACTTTAAGAAAAAGAACGAATGAGAAAGGCACAGGTGTGTGAGCAGGAGGTGACCATGTTGATAAATAACAGGGGTGTGAGGGAGACATGAACAATCATGTGTGCTCAGCCATCTCCAGAACATTTCTGGAAGAATCTAGAAGAAATGAAACAACAGTTGCTTCTGGGGAGGGAGCAGCATGGCTGTGGGCCAGGAAGAAACAGAGACTTATTTTCCACCGCAAACCCTGCTGTACGATTCTGGTTTTCACCCCGTGTATGTTTTACCTTTCAAAACATAAATGAAAAAAACGCCCTCAGGGTTCTGACGATGGCACTGAACGCAATCTCTGATTTGCCCAGGCTGTCTACGTCTGGATTTTCCGTGCTGTGGAGTTAAGCTACTCACGTCAGAAAAGGAAAGACAGAAACATTACAAAGAATGCTCTGCAGTTAGGACCCAGGCAGCGGCGACTCCCTTTCCCTGTGACAGACGGGCCACAAGTGGAAGGCGACCAGTGGGTCAAAGCTGGCTGGCCCCGTCCCAGCTGACTCGGAGCTCTGGCCTCCAACTGGGCTGGCTCCCTGGGGACCCGGTTAATTAAGCTAATTAGCACTGCTGCCGGCCTGGCTGAGCTGGGGGCTGTGCCAACGCGGCTGGCAAGGAGACTGGCCAGGTCTGCACCCCGGGCGGCGGGAGGATGTTCCTGGGAGAGGCCAGTGGGGGGACGGGGGGGGGGCGGCACCCTGCTGTGTGAGGGGGGGGAGTGTGATTCTAGGACAGGCTTCCCAGAGTCCTCTTTTGGACGCACTGAGCTGGACCTGGAGGCCCCTAAACCCAAGGAAGGAGGGAGCCCAAATGCCAGGTGTCAGCCACTCGATGACAGGCCCGTCAGCCCAGCCAGTAGTGACGGGACACTTGCCGTGAGCTCACCGAACCCTGGCATCCCTTCTGCTGTGCAGGCACTCCCGTCCTCCCCTTGTGTGGCTGGGGAAAATGAGGCACAGCGAGTTGGGGACACTCAGAACCGTGACTGCCGGATGCTCTGAGGCACCCAGGATTTTCTGTATCTGGTTCGCATCTATCTACACACACACACACACACACACACACGTAAATACCATCTTCCGATCCTAGCACTGGGAAAAAGGGTCCATCTCGGGTGTCGTCCACCCAGGCATGTCTCTGAGCACCTAGTGTGTGCTGGGCCTGGGTAGGGGCCCGGGGGTCTCTGCTCTCCCAGAGCTCTCAGTCCAGTGGGGGTGACAGAGAGGAAGGGAGTCACTGTCGAGGGAAGAAGTCTGGGGTCAGTGGGATAGCTGAGCCCACTCGGGGGCTCAGGGCTTCTCTGAGGACGGCGCATCTGAGCTGAGACCAGAGGGTGGTACGAAGTGTCGAACTGGGTCCTCCCCAAAAGCATGCTGAAGCCCTGAACCCAGCATCTCCAAATGTGACCTCGTTTGCAATCAGGGTCTGCTTTATAGAGGTAATCAAGTTACAGGGGAGCCATCAGGGTAGAACCTCATCCGATATGACTGATGTCCTTGCAAAAAGGGGAAGTGTGGACGCACAGACGCACGCACAGGAGAGCACCACGTGAAGGGGAGGGCAGAGACCACGTGATGCATCCACGTGCCGGGGAGCACAGAAGACTGCAGCAGGCACCTGACACCGGGAGAGGCCTGGAACAGGTTCTCCCGGACGGGGAGACCATGCATTTCTGCGGCGGAAGCCACTAGTGCGTGCTGCTTGGTTACAGCAGCCCTTGCAAATCCATACGGGGCAAGGAGTGAGCCCGCAGTGGGGGTGGCCCGGGCGGAGGGAGTGGCGCACACAGGGGCTGCGGGCTGTAGGAGAAGACAATGGGCGTCACAGGGCCTGACCTCTGACACACTGCAAAGTGGGAGCCCCACGGCACCTCCCAGATGGGGTTGCTGTGACGGTAAAACGAGATCCACGGCTCATGGTCACCGACCGAGCACCCACTGTGTGCCAGGTGGGTCAGGAAACGGGCAGTGGAACAGTGACACAGTGCAGCGTCAGGGGCCACCTGAGGCTGGGAAGGCCAGTCTGAGGCGGTGGCGTTGGGTGGGGCCTGGCAGAGCCGGCTGAGATCTGGGGGACGGGCACTCCCGGCCTTGGCCGGCCAGTGGGAGGCCCTGGTGGCCTGTGCGGGTGAGCTGGAGGAGCAGCACGAAGTGGGCGTGGCCGGAGTGGAGTGACAGGGCTGGGGCGGGGGAGTGAGGGCGGAGAGCCGAGGGGCAGATCACTCGTGCAAGGTCTGGGCAAAGGACGCCGGGCCTGGAACAGAATGTGCTCAGTGAACGTGAGCCGCCGCCACGAATCCCGGGAACTCGGAGGACGCTCGAGGTTCTAAGCAAAGAAGCCAACGAGGAGAACCTAGTTTTCGGAATCCCCTCTGGCTCTCGGGCCCTGAACTGGATTCTCAGCATGCATTCAGCACGCTCGCCTGCCGCAGCCGGGGACACCGTTGCTGTCTCCTGACACCTCTCTCCCTCCAAGCTCTGTGTCACCCACAAACTTTAGTGCCCCGATCCAGGTCATGAAAGATGATGTCACGAAGAACAGAACGGAGGAGGGCAGAGCCCCTCACCCCAGAGAACATGAGCCTTGGGCCAGGCTTCCTGGGCGCTGATGCAGGCTCCATCCCTCACCAGTTGTGAGGCCCTGGGCCTCAGTGGCCTCATCTGTAAAATGGGGAGAACAGGTCCACCTCATGGAGCTGCTGTGAGGATTCAGTGAACTAAGTCGCATAAAAGAACTTAGAGGGTGGGGGCAGTGGCTCACGCCTGTAATCCTAGCACTCTGAGAGGTTGAGGTGGGAGATCACTTGAGGCTAAGAGTTCAAGACCAGCCTGAGCTACACAGTGAGACCCCAACTCTACAAAAAATAAGAAAAGAAAAAAGCCTTAGAACCGAGGTAGCATACGGTGAGAATTCAGTAATGTTAGGTATCATATCCTCTAATTAAAAAACAAAAGCTTTTTTTTCTCTTGTGGGGGCAGGGTCTTGTGCTCTGTCACTTGAACTAGAGTGCAGAGGCGTCACCATAGCTCACTGCAACCTCAAACTCCTGGGCTCAAGCGATCCTCCTGCCTCAGCCTCCCGAGTAGCTGGGACTACAGGTGTGCACCACCGTGTCTGGCTAATGGTTTTCTATTGTTTTGTAAAGACGGGGTCTTGCTCTTGCTCAGGCTGGTCTCAAACTACTGGCCTCAAGCGATCTTCCCACCTTGGCCTCCCAAAGTGCTAGGATGACAGACATGAGCCACTGCCCGGGCCAAAATCTCTTTCTTAACTGCACACCCCTCTCTCTCTTTAAAGCAAAATGCCTCAAATGGGCTGCTCACACAGCTGCCTCAACCTTCTCTCCTGAACCCCCGAGAGCTGTTGGGGAGGCTCACTCCTACGCTCTGTTCTCAGGCTCATCTGGTCTGACCTCTTCCGGCCATCACCCCGGGCTCCCAGCCCCCCTCGACTCGGCAGCGCCTTGGTTCACAGCTGGGAGGTCCCAGGCGCAAACCTCTCCCCCCTCCAACCTCAGGGGCTCCTGAGGCTCGTAGCTTTAGTCTGACGACACCCAAAGTTCTCTCTCCGGCCTGACCTGCCCGCTGAACTCAATTCCTCATGAGACGGCCTCCCCTGGACGTCCCACTGCACGTCACCTGCCGAGCTCCCAGAACCGTGCCCCTGCGCTCTCCCCGGGTCTGCTCCTCAGGCAGGCCCTGGCTCCGCTCATGGTGAGTCTACCCTTCAGGCTTCACGACACTGTCATCTTCAACTTCTCTCTCTCACACATGCCACATCCAACCTGCCAGCAAACCCGGTCTGCTCCCGTTTCAGACGGTCTCTCGGAGCCCGCCCCCTTCTCACCCTCTACGCCCTGCGCCCTGCTCCCGCCCCCGTGCCTCTGCCTGGACCACGGCAGCAGCGCCTCCCTGCTCCTCGCCGGCGGCGGATCCCCACACGCAGGCCCGGCGACCCTGTGAACACCCAATTTAGATCACGGCCCTCCTCCTCGGTTCCATACCCTCCCGTGGCTCTGTCTCACTGACAGCGGATGCCAGAGCCTGGACACGTGGCCCCTGAGACCCTCCACGGTCCCTCCCCATCACACCTCTCTGACCTCACGTCCCCTCCGCCTCCCCCTGCTCGTCTAGCCACCCAGCTGTCCTCCCAGATGGCCAATCATGGTCCTGCCTCAGGCCCTCTGCAGTTGCCACTTCCCCTCTGGAATGTTCTTTACCTGCACGCGCACAGTGCTGACCACCCTGACTGCCCTGCCAGCGCTTTTCTCGTTCACTCTGTTTATTACCCATCACCCAGCGGGAATGCCGGCTCCCCAGAGCGGGACTCTTGTCCACCTCATTGGCAGCTGTGTCCCCGGTGTGTAGACTGGCACAGAGTCCCCTTTGCAACGTCAGAGCAAGGAGCACCTTCTTTCCGCCCCAGTGACACCACGGCTTGCGCACCCAGACACTTACTTCTTAGGGTCAGTGAAGGGGAGCGGCCGTGGGGGGGGCTCCTCTGTCCTCTTCCACCCTGTCGGGTGCTTGTTCCGCACAGGCTGCTTGGAGAAGAAGGACTTGGGGACGGAGGCGGAGAGCTGGAAGGGGCTGGACTGGGCCAGCTGGGAGGGCCGAGGAGTGTCCCCGCTGGTGGTTTTGTAAACCTGAGCGGGGTAGCCGGCCCTCGAGCCCATGTCACTGCAAAGCAAACACGAAAGAGATGAAAAAATCCATCCCACATTTGGCAAAACGGCGCTACTGAAATTTTCTCTTGGGAACCCAAAACTGTTCATTTATACAAGCGAGACACAAACACATCACTGCTGTGGAAAATTCCAGCCACACAGAAGCCTCTCTGGAGAAAAGGGAAAGTTGCCTGCACAGCGCCCAATTCCACCCGAGGAGTGGCCTTCGAGTGCCTTTGGTTCCTCTGTGGGAGTCTGAAAACGTCACCACTGGTCTCGGTACAACCTGTGCGGCTAAAAGGGGGTCCCACCTGCCCACTCATGTCTAGAGGTCACCATGGTTTACATTTTGCCCTATTTCCTCCTTCACCTTCTCCTATGCATTAAAACATATATATGTATACAACTGGAGAAAGGGGACTGTTTTGGGTGGGAGATTTCGCTTTTACATAACTGGGATCATGCTAATATATTGTACTGTACCTTGAGATCTTATTTTTACTTAAAAACGTATCCTGAGATCTTCATTGGAGGGAAAATAAAGTACCTTGCTATGCAGCCTATTCAAATACTTCTTAAGCACCTACTATATGTCAGATGATGCCATTCCAGCTAAATGAATGTAAAAACCACAGCTTGATAATCCAAATGCTGGATTCTTATTGAATTAATGCTGTAGTGAAGCCAGTGCTGTCAACTAGACCCCACTCTTGGGGGAACCAACTACTTACCCTGTTGCAGCAAATCAACTTCCAGAAACTTTTAATAAAATTCCAGTTCCATTTCAAGTAAGAAACATTCAATGAGAAAATTAATGCACTCGGAGTATAAATTAATAAATCCATTTTGAAAGTAATTTAGCAATATCACTTTTGATTGTGGCTAAATGAGAAGACTGGCAAATCTTCTCCCCAAAGAGGACAAAAGTGACCAAGAAACAACCATCTGAGCACCTTGAAAGTTGACCAAAGGCAGACAACAATCTGAGAAGCATTTATGCTGGGAAAACTGCTAAACTTCAGGTAAGAAGAGCGGGCATCTGTGGCATTTTGGCCTGGGGCTCGCCACCTCCCCCAGTGTGGTGAACACAGCTCTTCCCGAGCGGAACCTCTGGGACAGCATCCAGGGGACTGCTGTGTGCAGCAAGAGTTTCAGAAGGAGAGGAGAGGACAGAAAGGGGCAGAAGAAATATTTGAAGAAATAGTAGCTGAAAACTTCCCAAATTTGATGAAAAACATTAATCTGCACATCCAAGACGCTCAACAAACCCCAAGTAGGATAAACACAAAAAGATTCACACCTACAAAAAGAGCTGAAATCAAATGCTAAGATAAACATCTTGAAAGCATCAAGAGACAGAAGATGTTTCACATACAGAGGAGCGTCAATATAATTAACTGCTGACTTCTCCTTTGGAACAATGGGATAGAATGTCATTTTCAAAGTGCTGAAAGACAAAAAAAAAAAAGTGAACAAATAATTCTATATCCAGCAAAACTATCCTTGAAAAATGAAGGCAACATAAAAATGTTCCTAGATAAACAAAGACTAGAGAATTTGTTGCTAGCACATTTGTCTATTATGAAATAAAAAAATGTCCTCAGGTTGAAGGGAATGAGTCCAAATGGTGACTTGGATCAGTAGGGAGAAATGAATAGTCCAAGATGGTGAATGTGTGGTTTAAAATAAAAGACTCTATAGGCTTATGCTTTCTTATTTCTTCTCTCAACTTCCTTCAAGACATATGATTGTATAAGGCAATAATTAAAACACTATATTATTGGGTTTTAATACATACAGAAGTAATATATATGATAAAAACAGCATAAAGAAGGGGGAAGTGATTGGGGCTATATTGGAGAAAAGTTTCTATAGTTTATTAGAAGTTAGCAGTAACCTGAATTGCACTGATCCATACATGTTATGACAACCCAAAAGATAGTTAAACAAGAGAATCCAAACGGTACATTAAACTACATATATTTAACACAGAATAAGGTAGTAAAGGAAAAACAGAGGAGCAAGAAAGATAGTAGACCATATAGAAAACAAATAGCAAAATGGCAAATGTAAACGCAACCATTATCAATAATTACATTTAATGTGAATGGCAAACACTACAATCAAAAGGCAGAGACTGGCTGGGCGCTGTGGCTCACACCTGTAATCCTAGCACTCTGGGAGGCTGAGGCAGGAGGACTGCTTGAGCTCAGGAGTTCGAGACTAGCCTAAGCAAGAGCGAGACCCTAACTCTACTAAAAAATAGAAAGAAATAAGCTGGAAAATTAAAAATATATATAGAAAAAATTAGCTGGGCATGGTGGTGCATGCCTGTAGTCTCAGCTACTTGGGAGGCAAAAGGATTGCTTGAGGCCAGGAGTTTGAGGTTGCCGTGAGTTAGGATGACACCACTGCACTCTAGCCCAGGCAACAGAGCGAGACTTTGTCTCAAAAAAAAAAAAAAAAAAAAAAAAAAAAAAAAAAAAGAAAAAAGGGGGAAAAAAAGCCAGCATACATCATACAAGGTAAGGGCTAAACAGTTTTGTGAAACTTAATTCCAGTTGTCCATACTGGATTGATTGCCATGTAAAATGCTTTTCCTATTTTGGGTAATGGTCAAAATGTTTGAAAGAATTGGGTTGGTACAAGTTTAGGCAAAAGTCTCCAGAGGAGCATGCACTAGCGGATTATCTTTGCAGGTAGGAATGACGGGTAACACGTACCAAAGAAGAGACAAACTGAACCATTTAAAAAGGAAGTGGCCCTCTGATCTCTCAGTCTCCCTCCTAGTGGCAACCATGGCCTGCTCTTTCTTCTTCAACAGAGCATCTACGCAGACACCGGCACGCTTGCGGGAGAGGAACTGTGTCCTCCCAGCTGTTCCACCGTCTTATCTCTGTTGCTCTGGTGAGAGGTATATCTGTGTTTCCTTCCCAGGCTTGTTCGTTCTATAATTGTATGTCTATTCATATTTAAGTCTGTCTTTCTATCTCGGTCTCTGTTCATTTATGCTAGTTTATGTTCTAGATGTATTGCTACGTCAGCAACACACAAGCCTCTCTGCAAGATGTCTGCAGAGGCCACCTCTTTAGATATATTTTACCCTAAGCTTCTCATTTTCTCAATACATATGTGCTCTACTGTCAGTCGCGTGAGCTGACGAAAACCAAGAGATGAATCTGAAACAGAAGGACAGACATAGGGCAAAGATCGGAAAGCGCTTTGTCTTGGGCATTGCCATGCCGGCTTCCACTCCTCACTGCTGGTTTCGGCAGATGCGCCGTTGCTACCCTCTTCGGCTCTGGCGGCACGGGGGGTCGTCCGCTAACAACAGCCTTTACCCTTGCAATACCGAGGCGGCGTCACTCATGCCGTCTTGCCGTGCACGGGGAAGGCTACTTTGTACACCTTGTCTCCGGGGGCAAATCCCTGTCTGGTTTATGCCTTTTTGGTCTGTGGACAGCCTTGGTGGGACCGGAGTGTGGGTTAGTGAGACTCAGGGGGGTGTGTGGGAACCTGGCGAGCTTCTGGGGTAATCGATTTCTTATGTTCAGAAACGAAAGCACATCACGCACTTGCAGAAAGGGATGACCCACCTTCCTCGTCCACGCGGACACTGTGTCGTAACAGTTAGAGTTGACCAGGCCACTGTGTAGAGACTTCGAGGGAGCGCCGCGCGTGGTCGGGCGGATGGGTATAGCAGAGCAAATAACAGGAAAGAACTTGGTTCCTGGAGTCCATTAAAAATGAGCCCCT